TATATATATATATATAATTTAAAGACTGTGCAGTGAAATATTGGGCAGTAGATAGCTTCAGTTGTGCTTCTATGCTACATCTTTTCGTAATGAGGTGGTTTGGAATTAATGTTGTGAAAACCTTTAAATGGCATCATTACTTTAATTTGCAGTCATGATTTTGAAACCTAATATATAATGATTATCCATGCCTTAGAACTTAACTAAGCGCTTGTTAATCCTCGAGGCTCTTGGAGTCTTTGTATGAAGAGAAATAGCGGTGAGAAGACGTGGACTGGAAAAGAGTTCTCTCCCCGCACCTTTTTCTCTTTTCTAACCCTTTTTCTGCTGAAGAATCTCCTAATTTATTAGTGGATGTCTGGCAGCGCAGCTCTAATAGCCCAGACCAGCCTGATCTCCCAGGGCTCGGAAACTAAGCAGGGTACACCATAATCTGCTGTGCAGAGGAAGGCAATGGCAAAGCACCTCTGATCATGGAACATGGGGTTGCCATGAGTTGGCTGCAACTTGACAACAAGAAGAAGAGATTGGATTTATACCCCGCCCTTCACTACCCAAAGATGTCTCAGAACGGTTTACAAACTCCTTTCCCTTCCCCTCCCCACAACAGACACCCTGTGAGGGAGGTGGGGCTGAGAGAGCTCTGACAGAAACAGCTTTTTTCAAGAACAGCTCTGAGAGAACTTGTGACTGACCCAAGGTCATCCAGCCAGGTGCAAGTGGAGGAGTGGGGAATCAAACCCGGTTCTCCCAGATTAGAGTCCGCGCACTTAACCACGACACCAAACATGCTTTACCGTCTTTAAATCTTCATATTAAAAGTATATGCTGGGGAAATATCTGTTCAGATCTACCCCCCTTACTGAAGTTGGTGGGACGCCACAAATACATGCTAGCATCTGTTGCCTTCGGGAGCCAGCGTGGTGGAAATCCTGATGTTCGAGGCTGCAAAAACAGCAAAAATGGCTTGGAATACTCTGTGTTTAACTCAGCACAGGGAGGCTTGTGTGAAATTGTTTTCCCCTCTTCCACTTGTGCAAGGACTATAGTGCATAAAGAAATTTTCTGGTGGATCCAAGCCACTGATTCCTATGCCCATAATGACTTTCTCTATTGCTCGGCTGTGTAGTCACTTGCCATCAAGAATTCCCATGAAATCTTCATCTTCTGACTCTGTCTCCTCAGCCTGCACTTCACTAAGGTGAGACAGATCCTTAACTCACTGAGTTGAGACTGATCCTCTTTGGGTGACATCATCACGCTGATGCCGGGGGGGGGGCTGTTTGTGGGTGGGGCTTACCCCACCGGCCAGCTGGCTGGTGGTGGATTGGAGCCCCTGAAATCAGGGAACCCTGCGCCCTGACCAGGGGTCTGGCAACCCTAGGTGGGCTGGCCCTCCCCCTCCTGAGTCACCTGGGCTCCCCCTTCTCCTGCAGTAACCTGAATCACTTCTCCCCCCCTGGCTGATGGAGAGCTAGGGTGATTCCGCACAACTGCTTGCCCCGGCGTCAGCCCCCACAGAAAATCGCAGGTGCTGCTTGATTCCCCACCTGAAAATCCGAGGTGGACATTTAACCCACAGTTTATCTGCTTTCTTTCGGATTTTCCAGCTACTGGATTTTCACGGATCTTTTTCTCTATTCGGCTCTCAGGCCGGGGTTTTAAGGTGCGGAATAAATGGATTTGCGGCAAAACTTCCCTCCCAATTCCCGCCCCCTTGAGTTTTGCATTCCAGTGTGTACGCCCATCACCCCCTTCTCCCCTAGACCCCCTGCCCACCCCATTCCCCGTGCCTGTTGGTTGCATTGTGACGCCACCAGGCATGCGCTTAAAAAAGGGAGAAAAAGTAGGGAGGGGGCAGAGGGGAGGGCAATGCAGTTAAGGGAAGGAGGAAGGACAAATGCTCTTAATTAAACTCATTTAGCAAAATGAACGAGAACGGGGGGGAGTCTCTCTTCGGAGTCCCCACCCACCCTGCTAGTTTCCTGGGGGCAGACGGCTAAAAGTGAAGTGTGGCTGCGGACTGCTCAGGCTTAATTCAGAGGAGCTTACTTCTGAGGAAACCTGCTAAAAGGCTTGGACTCCTAAGCAGAAGACTAATAATATAATAATAATATATTTCAATTTATTAATCGCTCAATCCTGCAGAGCGGCTGGCTCTGAGCGATTTACAGTTGCACATATTAACAAGGGACTAACAATGATTCATAGGGGGTAAGGGAGGACAACATATAAATCTTTTAAAGTCATACACGTTTGCAGCCGATGGAGTTTTTGTTCAGCTGTAGGCTTAGACGTGTTCCAGATGGCATTCACTCGGCTTGGCTTGATGATGTCAGTTTTTCCAGGACTGCTTCGAGTCGTAGCTTCGCACCGCCACTGCCTGGCCGGATTGGCCCATCGCAGGCTTCTTAATGCCGAAGAGATCTTTCCAGGCTTCTGAGCTTCCGAGCTGGACATTCCGTTTCGCCGGCTAACACCTCCCCCCACGGGGGGGGGTTTTAGTGTGCCTGCCCTCTCTAAGGAGTGGTACCCATTTTATCTCGTCGCCGAAGCTTTCGAACCGCTGGGTGGACGGCGAGCTGGGGACAAGGCTGGTAGCTAACACCAGCGCGGGCTAGAACTGACAGCAGTTCTGTTCAGTTCAGATGTTACTGTAACCAGAGGATAAATCCTCTGTGCCACCAATGCATTAACCAGTTATCAGACCTGGCACAATTCAACCCGTGGAGTACCAGAGGCAAGTCCCTAATGTGGAATCACCCCTAGTCTCTGCAGAGACACTTTCCTCCCCTCGCCCCCCTTGTAGGGTTTGGCTGCATGTTACCACATTTACTGAGTACTGGCCGCCAAGGAGATCTCAGCCAAGTATCACAGGATACGGCTGGTTCTTCATAACCCCCATTTCTGTGAGGCCCACCAGCCCTCTCCATTCCGCAGGCATCCGTGCCACAGGAACAGTGAGGGCAAGTGACTACACGGCCAAGCAATGGAAGGAAGTCATTATGGGCATAAGAATCAGTGGCTTGGATCCACCAGAAAATGTATTCATGCACTGTAGTCCTTGTGCCAGTGGAAGAGTGGAAAACAATTTACACAAGCCCCCGGTGCTAACGTTTAACGTAGAGTGTCCCAGGCCATTTTTGCTGCTTTTGAAAGGCATGGCGCAAGAAGGGCACTATAATGTATAGAAAGGAAAGTATTTGGTATTGCACAAGTGGACCTGGCCTAAGGCAGCTTACATCCCCACTTACACATCACTGAACCCAAGCCAGTGTTTTCAGCTAGACAGACCCAGTCAAGGCTAGACTTGGCAAGGCCAAGCCTCACCTGGGATCATCAATCATCTTGCCAGGTCAGGAGCAGACCGTGGGCTGAGCAAAAGGAATCTCTCAGGAGCCTGAGAGGACATTTTGGCCTACAGAACTTTCCAACCCATAATTGCCGGGCAGCAGAGCAGACCTCTAAAGGCTCCTGGCTCTGGCAGTTCTTGACATCCTCTGGCCCAGAACCCCGTGTGCACTCAGAGCAGTGACCCTTTTCCGTTCCAAAAACTGTCAGGTGGTGTAGAATTCAAAGCAAAGCTTTTGTTGTTGTCCTTCCAGGGCCAGCTGAATGATCACAAAGATGTAGTGGACTTCATCATCGAACAGCAAAACGTTGTTTCCCATATAAATGAGAAAATTCTTAGTTCTGAAAAAAGATATCTGAACTTTATATCTTCACCAGGTAAACCAAGTCCTGCCCTCCTCCCCTTTCCTCTAGTTCTGGTCATCATTTTGTTTGATCTTTGATGTTGTCTCATTTTAACTTTTGCAGTTCCTGTAGATATGGAGGATTACTCAACTTTTTCTTTTTTGGATTCTCAAGATAAAGCTGTCGTTCTTTCAGAAAATATGAACTATGTCACAAGGAAAGGTAGGTTTGTTTTATTAGAGTGCTAAAATAGTTTGGTGTAATGGTTACGAGCGGCATACTCTAATCTGGAGAACCAGGTTAGATTCCGCACTTCCCCACTTGAAACTAGGTGGGTGACCTTAGGCAAGTCACAGCACTCTCAGCCTAAAAACAAGCATAGCTCGCCACCTAGTGGTGGCAAAATAGAGCTACAGCTTCGGCAGCCAAACTGTGCCCCCCGGGAATCTCCTGGCTATTCTACACACAACGCCATACGATAATTTCAATTTTGCTAAAATACACATGATTATACCTGAACTCTTGCAGGACCATCTGTTGTAGATGTGTAAGGCTTAACCATAGCTACCATCTATATATCTAATAGCAAAGTGGCCCCCGTGCATGCGTATACCTAAATCCGCGCATCGGGGGCACCTGGGGGGAGGGAGATTTTTGTGCACACTTGCGGCAGTCCCCAGGTGTGCACAAAAATCTTAAATCCCCCCCAAAGTAAAACTGCGTTCCGTGCGCATGCGCAGGGAACGCACTTACCTCGGGGATCTGTGGCAGAGCTGTTGGTGATGGCGGCGGGGGGGGGAGCCTTGGCGGGCCAGCGGCTAGAAGCCATGGCCATTGCTGCTGCTGTTGGCGGCGGCAGCAGTGGAGGAAAGCCTGGCGGGCATGGCAGCTTGCAGTCCTGCTGTCCGAGTGGGGGGATGGTGGTGGTGGAGGAAACCGGGGGAGTAGGGCGGGGGGGTGAGGGGGGGAGAGGAAAGCGGCAAGGCCTGGTGGCTGGCAGCCACTCTGGCCTCGCCGTCGGAGCCGGGGGTGGGATGGAGGAGACCGGGGGAGGGGGGAGGAGATCAGCAAAGGTTTACCTGCTACTGCCTCCTCCCCCTCCTCTGCCTGGAGCTCTTCTCTCCCCCCCCCCAGTATCGCGGGTCCCCTTTCTGCCTCGCCGTTGGAGCCGGGGGTGGGGTGGAGGAGATGGGGGAGGGGGTGGAGGAGATCAGCAAAGGTTTACCTGCTGCTGCCGCCTCCTCCTCCTCCTCTGCCTGGAGCTTTTCCCCCCCTCCCCGCGAGTATCGCGGGTCCCACCTCTTGTTAACTCTGATTTGTTACTTTAATCCTGTTTGAGATTCAATAAATATACAGTGAAACTGCGCCACCCCCAGCACATACAGAGAAAGAATAGCATGACCTGCAGATGGAGAATGGCCTTAAGCCATAATTAATGTCGTTAACCCAAACCACTGTTTGCAAACCTACTTTCCAAACTTGGTCTGCAGTTGAAGAGCTAGATTCAAATCCAGTGGCAATTTAGAGACCAGCCGGAGTTTCAGGGTATGAGCTTTTGAGAGTCAAAGCTGCCTTCGTCAGATGCCAAGGGAGGGTGTCTGAAGGGAGCTGTGAGTCTGGAGAGCTCATGGGCTGAAAATCTTGTTGGTTTCTGAGGTCCTGCCAGATTCAGATCTAAGAATTAGCAGATTATTATTGATTCAGCTGGCCTCCTTAGACGGCGATATACAGCCGTGACCTAGAAAGCAACCAGAATAGTCCCTCCGCACTGCTTCCCGAGTAGAATTGTAATAGATCAGCCAAGTCAAAGGATCCATCACCCCATCCCACCATAGCTTTCAAAGCACCGATGGGGATAGCATATTGAGTGGCTTAAGTTTTTGAAGGCCATCATAATATGGAGCCAGAGACGCAACCCCAAACACTTCTTCTGTATTTGGAAGTATACATTTAGTAGCATAAAATCCCTGGCCCCAATGATATCCAGCTGGCCTCGACCAGAACCAGGGATTTTTCGGCCTTGGCTCCGACCTGGTGGAACTCTCTGCCGAATACCACCAGGGCCCTGCCAGACTTAATGGAGTTCCGCAGGACCTGTAAGGCAGAGATGTTCCACCAGGCCTTTGGTTGAGGACACAAGTGGTTTCATCATGGCTGGCACCCTTCTCCTTTCCTCCATCTTTTCTCTTTGGCCCCCTCCTCGCCCTACCCGCGAAATGGCAACATAGTCCGGAGCGGGTCAAGAAGAAATTTTTTGGCCCCCCAAAGGGGATTTTTTATTGCATTTTTTTATAAACTACAAACTACAATGAAAAAATAGGAAGGGGAAACTACATCTAGGGAGGAAGGAAAGAAAACCACTAATAACTAAACCCCCAAGAATAGGAGATCATAACAACAGCTTATAGAAGTATTAATCTTAAATTGCTAGTATTACTTTGAATATAGTCGGTTATGCTAAATTATTTATCTTTTTATCCATTAATTTAACTGTTTAAAGAGAAACCCAAGAGCATCATCCATAAGGTCAAGAAGAAATATTGACGCCATCTGAGATTCTGTAACTGATGTATAGATTTTATTGATTTTAGCATTGTTTTTCACTGCAGTACATCACACACAGAGCCTTGTGATCACAAGGATTGGGTGGTTCATAAATCCAGTATTTGAAATAAATGAATAAAAACAACTGTGTATACAGCAATCCCTATTTCTGGTTTACTGTTTCACTTTCCCCACTGTACTCACCTACCTTGTCTCATTTCTCAGTAAAAACTTTGACATGAGTTATGTGTTGCTTTTCAGATGAAGATGTAATATATGCAGTTACCGTATGGATCGTGGCTGATTTTGACAGGCCAGATGGAAGGCAGTTGCTTTCTAATGCACTGAAACACCTGGTCAGTTCATCACAATTCCTATGCCCACTTATACGGTGAATGTCACTGAGGGTTCTCCTTGGCAAATCTGACAAGAAATGGTAATGGTAACACATACACGGCAGCTAGCTTCACTCAGATGAAGAAGACGTCTACTAAACCAATAGCTACCCTGTCCCCAGAAATAAGAAGGAACTACAATAACCCTCCTGAAACAGTTGATGACTGAATAGCTCTTGAACCTGGCAGTGATGCTCTGTTTGTGATAAGCAGTGAAAGGAGTCTTGCCAACTGGAGCTGGGTCAGTAGATGAAGAAGCCAGCAAGCGGTACACAGGCCCCCCCCCAAATAAAACCAGTCAGAGAGATTTATTTGCCACAACAGCTCTCAGTTATATGTAATAGTTAGCCACTTGCTGTAGATACATACATTATAGAGTCAAAATTCCAGAGGACAAAAAAGCTTTCCTTTGACCCGTGTTCCTGAAAAGGAAGGGTACAATTTAATGGACAATGCAGTCCCCCACCACACCCTTCCGTTTCATGGATTTCCTCATCTCACAAGTGTAGAGGTGTTCATGTGCTTGGCTATCAGCAGGGAGCAGACTGAGTCAACTCTCCAAGTAAACAATCACTTTAATAGCAGCCGGTACTTACAAAGCATTTCGTTCCAAGGGAAGAGAGAGTATTGATGTTCTGGGTGTAAGGGTAATAATAATAAGCAAGGGCTCATAAGTCATATTTTGTTTTACAGAAAACGAGTAGCTACATACAGATTGGGATTGTGAATAATCCCGCATCAAAAATAACCGAAGAGAACACACTGGTCGCGAGGGCGATCGTGGCAGCTTTTCTAACGCAGAAAAACACCAGTCTGAGAAACTTTCTCGACAAGATTGTTAAAGAGGAGACAGCAAAGTCCCTGGCAAGAGGAATGAAGATCAAGAAGCTTTTAGTTTCGGTGAGTAGGTACAGAATAAAATGATAGTCTCCCCTTCACCGGCTGCACACAAAACAACACTGCTCTTCTTTGATATTTTTGGATGCAGCATTTTACGAGTGATACGATGGTGTGTTCCTTTGAGATGCCTGCTGGCAGCAGTAGTGTAACAACTGTGCTCTTAAATGTTAACTGTGACATCTGTACAATTGTGTTAGTTATATCTTTGGGCAGTTGTGAATTTGTTGATGTTTCCTTACTGTATGGTATAGCTATTTTCACATGATCCCTTAAGGTAAAAGCCTTTGCTTTAGTTTCACCTTTCACTTGTGCTGTGGGTTGCTGGCTGTGGCATCTTTTGGCTACCAGGGCTCAGACTGGGCTTCACTTATGTAGGGTTGCCAGGTCTTACCTGGCTAGCAGCGGGGGGATCCCTCCCGGTCCCAGTCCGGGAGATCTTTGGTGCGCGTGCTGCAATAACGAAACCTAGAAGTGACATAATGTGCAGGGCACGTTGCAGGGAATGCCCTATCATTTAAGGAAAAACTCTATGGTGTTTCCGTAAATCATTGAGCGTTCCCCTCTGCAACGTGCCAGGCACGATGACGTCACCTCCGGGTGACGCCATCACACTGGGCACATCAATGCACGCGAGGCTTTTTGAGGGTGGGGTTCCCCCCACCAGCCAGGTCCAGGCCGGCGGATTAGAGGCCGCTAGAGCAGGCAAACCCCTACCCACCCGGGGGATCTAGCAGCCATATGCTTATGTCCTAATAAAGTTCTGTACTGTTTTGGTACGGGGTGCTGTGGAATCATTACAATGTTCGGCAGGTTTAGCCTGAAGTAAATTCGCTTAGGCTTTCACTGTAAATCTGGTTGCTGATTCCAGGGCCTTTTAGCTGTGGAGAGTAAACGATGGTAAGGTTTTCACAGGCAAGCGTGGTTCTAAAACCAAGTGATCAAAGACAGTGAAAGATGTTAGTAATATTTCTGATCTGTTCCTCACATTGCAGTTTTCACTTGGGGTAACATCGAAGTCGTGTTGAAGGACCTCCCCGGTGCAGGGGCAAGACCAGGGCGTGCAGTCCACAGACTGACTTCTTGCTGTGCAGTGTGCGGAGATTTATGCACTTGAATAGTCTCTCATGAGAGACATCTCCTAGCACATAGGAAAGTACATCGGCTGAATCACTCACCTGAAATTATTTATTTTTTTTAATGTGAGGCCATTTTAGGGTTGCCAGGTCCTAACTGGCAGCCAGTGGGGGGCTCCCGGGTCCTTCCCGGCATCTTCTGCTGTGCACGTGAAGATGTAATCTGGAAGTGACATCATCTCGTCGCTGACCTCACAGGGGTGGCACTCTAGTTTTGGGGCAAAACTCTGGTTTCTTGCCTTCAAAACCATAGAGTTTGCCCAAAAACTAGAGCGTCATCACCCCTGACATTGTTGACGTGATGACGTCATTGCATTGGGGACATCACATGGCAACATCCCTGTTTGGGGGTAGGGTTTCCCCCACCTGCCAACTGGCCAGCAGTGGATCAGAGCACCCAAAAGCAGGGGAACCCTGGGAGGGAATATTAGGACCAAAGCAGTGCTACAAAGTATTAAAGACTTCTACCTGTTCTATTTCCCTCTCCCTTATTTCCAGCATGATATGTGCATATGTGTGCTGGAGAATTAGGGTTGCCAGCCTCCAGGTGGGACCTTGAGATTCCCCATGAATTACAGCTCATCCAGACTACAGTTCCTCTGAAGAAAATGGATGCTTTGGAGGGTGGGTTCTATGGCATTGCACTCCACTGAGGTCCCTGTCCTCCCCGGGCTCCCACCACCTAACCTCCAGGAGGTTCCCAAACTGGAGCTGGCAACCCTATGCCCCCCACTCCCGCCAATGGCCAAGGAGGATCTGGCAACCCCATGGGAAATGTGTATTTTCCCTCCAAAGACTTGCACATAATGCATGAATGTGCAGACACATACAAACGCGCACAGACTTTGAGTGAGATATGGACGCAGGGGGCAAGGAGAAGTAGCCCAAGTGAGCAAATTTCCCTCTTCCCATTCCTTTGAATGTAACAAGAAAGCTTTTTGATGAAAGCAGCATTTTCTCTAATATACCAGAGTGTAACATGTCTCCACGTAGCTTCCTTTTGAGTCAGGTTTTCCCTTAATAAGCACATGCTGTATTATTTGGCCATGAGATTAAAAAAAGCAAAACTCTGAAATCAGTGCTAAGAAGGACAATGTCTGCTGCAGGGCTAGATTTACATCCAGTGTTCTTTTGGGGAGACAGACCCCGAGGTTTTAGATACGTTTTGTTTCTGTCGCTTACTTCAGCTTATCTGTTCTTGAATGCCATCTTTATTCTTTCTGTTCCAGGGCATGGATGATGACGCTTTTGAAAAGAAGTACAACACAATGGGTGTAGATTCCATTCGAGCTCACCGGATCTTTTGTCAGGAGGTTCTTAAACTGCTTCCTGGGCAAATGGCTGTAGTTAGTAATGGGAGGGTAAGTTTTACAATATATATTTATGCATTTGGTTATTTACAGTCTGCCCATTCACAATTCTTATGCAGGGTTTATGCTGGCCTTTGTAATTCCAGTGGAGAAATACCACTTGTTTCCCCCCACCTCTCGCCCAGAAGATGCCCAGAATTCAGCACAGAGATCCCTTGAGAGAAGGCCTTTAAAATCACAGTCTGGGACATCTCCCCACTCTCCTTATGTGGATTGTGGTTTGTTTTTTGGATACTGAAGAAGAATCGAGGGAGTGCATGCCAAAATCTCTGCTCTTCTCTGGCTCCTGGAGGCCTTTCTCAGTCCTTCTGAACAGCATCATTTCTTGGATCAGGAAGCCAAAGTCTTGCATTAAGTCCTCCAAGGGGAGGGCCCAGAGGAACTTTGCCTTGTGACAGAGAAGGAGGCTCTTGAGTTGGGCAAACTGAGTTGGGCAGCCTCTTAATGTCTTTCCCCAGCTGGATCTAAAACCTCAGTACGTAACGGAATGAACTCGGTGTCAGGTAAAGAGTTGTACCTGACAGCTCTAAGTCAGGATTGTCTGTTTCCAGCTGAGGTAATCGCCTAAGGCCTTACAACTTACTGAGGAAGGAGAAGGGGGCTCAGTCCATCTAACCCAAAAGAGACTGAGACTGTTCCGAAGGCACCCACTTGATTCGTGCTTATCATGTTCAGCAGGATCAAGAAAGCAGTATTAAGGGTGCTTTTTACTCCAGCCATTTAGCCTGGGATAGACGTAATATATTCACCTAGGTTTTTATGGTGGATCTGGTAGGTCCTCCCTGGCCACCGGTGGGGCTATACTCTAGCCACTTAAGTCTGGGATAGACGTAATGTGTTCACTTAGTTTTTATGGTGGATCTAGGTAGGTCCTCCCTGGCCACCGGTGGGGGGTGGAGACGTAGGGTTTCCAGTTCCAGGGTGGGAAATTCCTGGAGATTTGGGGAGGACAGGGAGGGACCTCAGTGGGGTACAGTGCCCATAGAATCCACCCTCCAACGCATCCATTTTCTCCAAGGGAACGGATCGCTGTAGTCTGGAAACGAGCTGGAGGCTGGCATTGTCAACCATTGCACTATTGTTTTCTGTGTTGTATTAGGCCTGGTTGCTTTGGTAAAATTAAAAACAACAGAAGTATTGTACAAGAGTGAATTGCCACAAGGCTCCTGAGGATTCGTGGGACTGCCGTCCCTTTAAATTTTCTTCCGTTTCTCAGTCTCACGGCTTCCTATTCACCCGTCCGTTTGGTACATTTTTTTATCAGCTCTTCACCTGAGGATCTCAGTACGGCGCTGCCTTCCCCATTTGTCCTCTCAGCAATCCCGTGCGATAGACTGGCGAGTGGTGACTGGCCCAAGATCACCCAGTGAGCTTCCGGGCAGAGTGTCTCTCCCTGCACCTCGTCCAGCACTCTAACCAATACTTCGTGCCGTCTGCCAGGCAGTATACGCTCTCCCTGGCCCCACGGTTCCCGAATCAGTTGTCAAGGGGGGGGGGGATGGCTTTAATTATGCTTTTGTCTTCCAAGCCAAAGAGATTCATTAATTTCTTTCTCATGAGAGTATAATTCTGCAATTATGATCTGAAGAAATACAAAAGGGAATTAATGAGCAATCTTTTTTGATTGCAAACCAAAAGGTAGTAATTAAATTTTCCCCCAACCCAGAATTTATTGTCAGCCGGGACAATCCTATAAGTAGGATTGCCGGCATCCAGTTGGGGCCTGGAGATCTCTTCGAATTACAACCGATCTCTAGACGAAAGAGATGCATTCCCCTGGAGAAAGTGGCTTCTGTACAGGGTGGACTGTATGGCATTATACCCTGCTGAGCCTCCTCCCCAGGCTTCACCCCCCCAAAAAAAAATCTCCTGGACTTTCCCAATACAGAGTTGGCAACCTTAGCTGTAACACCCCCCCCCCGAAATAATTAAACAGAATTTCCCTGTCTTCATCCACAGACCATTTCTGCAGGAGTGAAATTCCCCACACTGACGTTTTTAAAACTACGTGCTATGTGACATTTTCCGGAGTAGATTTTCCCTCACCGGGTCTCAAACCCAGAGTTTTCTCCTCCTTACCCCACATTTTTAGAATCCCCCGTTTTAGCGAGTTCAGAAAACACAGGGTAAGAAGGAAAGAACGTCGGGTTTGTGCCCGGTGAGGAAAAAAACCTACTGTGGAAAATGTCACATAACACGCAGTTTTAAAAACAACAATGTCTCTACTGCGGAAACGGTCAGAACAATAAGAATGGTGGACGCAGGAAGAAAGGGGAAGAAGGGAGTGAGGAGTCATGGGAGGGGTGGGAAGGTACCTCACAGTCTTTGCCTCCCTCATCTAGCAATGGGCTAATATTAGCTGAGTTGCTGGGCTAGGTAGTGTCTTCAGCCCACATTTGTAGTCCTCCCTTTCTTAAGCCAACCTGATGCTATGTGGGGGGGAGAAAGATGAGGGCCTGGAGAAGGAGGCACTTTGTTGGGCATGGACAGAAAAGGCTGTGGGTGGAATGAGTTCAGCACAGATTAATCATGCAGGGGTGTTGAACTCATTGAGAGCCGGTTTGGTGCAGTGGTTAAGTGCAGGGACTCTAATCTGGGAGAACTAGGAGGAGGCTGAAGTTGGTTCCTTATTCGCACTTCCTTATTCATTCCTTATTCATTCCTTATTTGTGTAGTCATTCAGAAACACTAAGGAGAGTGAGTTGGAAAGCTCTGAACCCCAATTTAAGGTCTGGACCACCACATATCATATACCCCTACATTCACAGGACTCTCCCCTTCGAGGGGACATGTGCTGTATCCTGGTCCAAAACATGGTTCTGGTGCCAGCTGCTCCAAAGTGCAGTGCCCCTAGGACAATCACACGAGCAGACACTGGGGCCAGGCCATGTGTGTCATAAAACGTAATGCCAGGTAGTGGAGATATAAACTTTATAAAGGACACAGACAAACACTATTAAAGATTTTTTAAACTTTGGATAACACATTTCCAGTGAGTTCAGCACCCCTGGATTAATGAAAGGGCTACTAGGCTGCACTTCTAAACACACTTTTGTCAGTTCAATGGGGCTTGCTGCTGAGTAGATATTTAGGATCAGCTCTGTTGTGACTGGCACTGTGGAATTCCTATGAGGAATATAGTGCTGTGCTAAGTACCATGGGGAGTAGGGATGCCAGCCTCCAGGTGGGACCTGGGGATCCCCTGGACTTACAGTTCCTCTCCAAATGACAAAGATCAGTTCCCCTGGAGGAAATGGATGCTTTGGAGGGGGGACTCGGTGACATCGTGGCTGGGTGGCCCCTGAGGTTCCCGTCCTTCCCAGCCTCCATCCCCAAATCTCAAAGAGTTTCCCAACCTGGATCTGGCAACCCTAATGTGGAGCTATGGAGCTGTTTGTCTAGTTCTACTTCTAGCTGATAGTACAGGGATGATAACCCTTACGTGCTACTGGGCATTAATGTGGAAAGCACTTTGTTTAATTATGCCTGAGAAAAGTCAATTTGTTGTTTGGTGAACAGGCTTTTCACCCCTGAGCAAAGGGCAAAGTTTATAAAATGAGTAATTGGCGGTTATGAAGCAATTCAAGGTTTCTCTACGGAATTATCCAGAGGTATCTCTGACTTCGAATGCCGTTGTCATTTTATTAAATCTGAATTATTTGTATTCTGGCCCTCAGCCCAAATGTTCTGGATGGAGCAAATTACTGCAAATGGTGAAATTAACTCTGTGATAGGTAGGTGGAGTTTGCGTTTGAAGCTGAAGAGCCATCTGCATCACGCCTTGGTTACCAGCTCTATCATTGTCAGAGTATTTTAGCAGAAGAACTTGCATTGCTAGAGTCTAGGATTGTCCAATATGAAGGCAGAGCTGTGGTTACTGATAGGGTGCCCAGAAGGAAGGTGTGGCTGTAGAACTGGAAACTGGATCTAGGATCCCAAGTTTGAGAAACCACTAATATCCTTTGTGGAATAAGTATCAAATATATATAAACAATGTAAATAATGGCTGTGTTTTAGTATTAAGAAATTGTAAAGCTTATGAGGCAAACATTAGGTGATTTTACCTCTGTGAGGGGAACTACGAAGCCATAGACCTCAGGGCAGCCTGTCTAGCCATAGAGTTTGTGCATAATGACTGTTACAATTACTGTTAATGGTTTTTTGCTGAGGTTTTTGGTGAGTTGTCATATTTTTATGGGCCAGAAGGATGGAAAGTGTATCACTGCTGATTGTTAAAGCTTACAACTTGGTGAGTTACTGGGTGACTTAACTAGTCTGCTGCATTTTAACTTAGACCCAAGGAGGCCAGGCTCCGAGACACAGGTGGTTGAAACCGTGCAGGGAGATAATAATAGGCTAGCCTCAGCCATGTCGCTTACTGTTATGTGGTTGTAGCTCAGAGCGCTCCATGCTGTTACCTAAATTTAAAAGTGATAAGTCTGGAAAAGTCAAAGATCACTAATCCATGGGTGTGGGGGTGGTGCAAAGCAATATTCTTGGATACTCCTAAAACAGAGCAAGCTTCTAACATCTGTGGTATTGTTTCTCTTTGTTCAGCTTCTCAAGGAAGGAATGTGGTTACAATAAACACTTTCAGTTATTGCGTAATGCCCTTGCTCTCTTGAGCACAGGGATCCCAAGTCCTCCCGGGCGGCGGGGAAACCCCTGCCCCAGAGGCCCATTCCCCGGCGGCGCCAGATCGGGCCCCAGGGGGAACTCCTCCCCAACGTGCGCGTCACCTGGAAGTGATGCGGGCACGCTGGGGGCGGGGCCACGGCCATACAAGGGAAAACTCTATGGTTTTCCCTTGTATGGTCATGGCCCCGCCCCCAGCGTGCCTGGCATCATGACATCACTTCCTGGTGATGTGTGTGTGGCGCGCGCGCTCCGGGATCCACCCGGGAGTCCCCCGCCACCAAGGTAAGTTCCACTTGGCAACCCTACCTGAGCATACTGTTCTGACTATCTTTCTAATAGTGTCGTTGCTCATAAATATTAACTGTTGTAGGTGTGCCCTGTTCTCTCTGGAATTTTCTTCATTCGGTCTTTCTAGATATTTCCATTCTGAGTGTTTGTATTTCGAGCTTGAATTGTGGCTTGCGGGTGGTGGTGATTATTCACTAGAGGAATCAGTACGCCCAAAAACAAGCACAGGCACAGAAAAATGTGTATGTGCACTGAAGCAGCATGCATGAGAATAACCAGCATATGCACCCCCTCTGTATCTCTGCGTGTAAAAAGCGTCGTCAATCACAGCTGACTTATGGCGGCCCCTGTAGGATTTCGAAGGCAACAAACATTCAGAGGTGGTTTGCTATTGCCTGCCTTTATGTAGTGACCCTGGACTTCCTTGGTGGTCTCCCATACAAGTACTCACCACGCCCAACCCTGCTTAGCTTTCAAGATCTGAATAAGATTGGCCTAGCCTGAGCCACCCATGCAGAAATTGTCAGCTGCCTCTGCTGGGATCTTAGAAGAATGACTCAAGTAGGAACAACAAATCTATTAGTGCAGTGAATATTATTAACACAAGACTTGTTGGAATGGCATTCTTTCGGGGGGAGGGCCCCAACTCCCATAGCCCTAGCCAAACAGCCTCCTTGAATGTAGAAAGAAAATTTATGACCTCAGAGCAGCATGTGTTTATACCTTAGAAGTGGACACCCAGTTACAATTCCCTAGAAATGCCCTCCCATCAGTTCCAAGGGGCTTTCAACCCCAGCACTGATTTTTCATGAAACTGGTTTATCCTGAATCTTCTGTGCGTGTAGGAGAGGTTTTTAATTAATTTCCTCCATCCTTTTTCTTTATGTCATTCTTCTGCCTGGCAGTTCTCTTCCAGTTAAATCTTCCATAACTCGCTGCACATTTTGGAATTATTACAATTCATGGATTGGCAGTTTTATTCCGCTCATTCCAGTGTAGTTTGGTAGAGCCTTCTCCTTGAGGAAGTATTGCTGGAGTTTGGTTTTGTTTCCTGATCCACAGAGAGTTACAACCCTGGAAACTGAGAATGGCCTTCAGAATGTGAAAAGTACGCAGACGGAGAGTGATTTCAGCAAAGCGTACTTTATTCGATCAGGAACAAGACGACTTTGGCCAGCTTGCAGGCCGGCTTTTATTCCCCAAGAAACCGCCACCCAAGACAACCCCCCACTTCCCAATAGGTTATTTACAGTGGCCGAGGGTCCCATAGGCTCTCAGCCGGGAACCTAGCCCCCTGATTGGAGCGGGCTAGGATTCGCATAGTCCATTGTCTCTTGGAGCGAAGCTCAACGTTTGTACCTGACCGCGTGGAGCCCAAGCCGGCCACGCGATCTGGACTGGATACATTACAGAATGCAAGGGGAGCAAGAATTCACACTGCATGAAACTTGAGCTTTTTGGATTCATTAAGCAGGGTGTTTTTTTTTTTTTTTTAAATAACCACACTGAACTTCATGCTATTGGATATAATAGCAGTCCATTCATTGGAATTACAGCATATCTCCAGCTACAGAGACCAGTTCCCCTGGAGAAAATGGCTGCTTTGGAGGGTAGACTGTATATGCTGCTGAAGTCCCTCCCTTCCTCAAACCCCGCCTTCTACAGGCTCCACCCCTAAATCTCCAGGGACTTCCCAACTTGGAGTTTGCAGCCTTTTCATTTATGCAGGTGAATTGCTGAAGGCAGATGGAGCAGCATTCTTATTAGGAAATTTCAGGGTCCTATCTTCTTAAGACATGTTCTTCTTGTTATTCTTGTTATTTAGAAATTGCAAAAGGGTTTTTTTTAGGGTTGCCAAAAAAAACCTCCCCCGGTTTGCCAGGGGTCCCCCGTTTTGGGGGGGTTCTACCCACCACCGGCCAGATGGCTGGTGGGGGAAGCCCCGCCCCCAACACCCACAGCCACCCCTCTCCCTTCTCTCTTGAGAGAGAGAGGGGTGGCTGCCTTTAAGTTCATGGAACCCACGTTTCCTCCCAAGCCCGATATCCACTTGAGATCAGGCTTGCAGGGAAATGCCAGCTCCGTGTACTTAAAAGGGAAACGCGGGCTCTTTGTTCTTAAAGGGGAAACGCTGGCTCCGTGTGGGAAACGCCGGCTCCTTTACGTGCAGGAAACTGGCGTTTCTGGAGATCGGGCGTGCGGGGGGGGGCAGTGGACGTCCCCAACGTCATGTCATCACGTCAGTGATGCCCCGCCCCCTCCAGGAACGCCCCCAAAGTCCCCCGCTGGGGTGGAAGATGGACTTGGCAACCCTAGTTTTTTTCCAGGAGAGGGGATAACAACCCCCTGTTTTTCTTGTGAATCTTGTTATTTAGAAATTGCGTAAGGGGTTTTTTTTTTACAGGAGGGGGGTTGTACACACTGCTGTACACACCAAAGCAACTTTGTGGCCCTGCTGTACACACAAAAGCAACTTTGTGGTACTTCAGGACTCACTTTCCGTCTGCATTTTTAAAAAACTTTTTTCTGGCCTTTCAGTTAAAGCGCAGTATTACTTGTTGCTGGGGTCGCTTTAAGTAGTTCAAGATTCCGTCACCTCTCGTCTCCATGTAATCATTCTTGCCTTTAAGGGCTCAGTTAAGTTCAATCCTTTTTTTTTTTTTTTTTTAAATAAAAGCAGGATGTAGCATTTTTTTGAATGCCAGATCTGTCAGCCTCTTGGTTTTCTGTTTTGCAAAGGTAATTGGCCCTTTACATGAAAATGAATTCTATCCAAAAGATTTCGACTTGCTGGAGAAGGTGACACTAAGCTCTGCGGCAATGAAGATTAAGACCCTTGTCAAGGAAATGGGCCTTGCCAGTAAACGGTAACATTTCTGGAGTATATATGTTAAAACAATTTTTGTGTCATTTTACTGAACCTAGCCATGTCTCTCTCACTAGCCCAGAGCGATACAACTATCAGAATTCATTCCTTCATATTCAGATCAATGTGACCCTTGCATTTGAGTTTTAAAATCCATCGTTTGAACATGAACACCATGAAAGGGGAAAACAGAATAAATCTATCTGTATTAGGAAGGTTAATATTTTAAGAGCCATATATCTTTATTTTAATGAATCTGATACAAAAAAGGAGAAAATATCTCAAACCAAAAGTGCTTTTTCCACACTATACAATTTATATCCTTGGTTGAAATAATATTTTACAAATGTATTGTATTTCTGTCATAAAATAATAAATTGCTGGCTTACAACACCATAACAAAAACAAAAACAAAAATTAAAAATAGAAGAGTCAGATCAATGTCTTAAATTGCTTAATTCTCAAAATGTGGTCGAAGAAAATAGTTTTTATATTTTTTCTTTGAGTGGGCTTGGTGTATTTCCCACAAGAGGAGGGGAAAGAATACATGCTACGGACCAACTTTGCTGTGTTTTGATAATAAGGAAAGAAAGAAATGTAATGTGGTGTTTTTTCTGTGACTTGGATGCTCATTTAAAGCAGTTCAAGAGCCGGTGGCTGAGAAACATCACATTAATATCTGCAACAGAATGTTTAATGACTGATAAGCAATTCAGTTTCCTGCAGTTCCATCTATAAACAACCTTACACCCATTCTAAGTCCATTGAAGTCCATGGGCTTATAATGGTGTAACACTCCTTAGAATGGTACTGTTATACACCGCATGGTCAGATCACTTTGCCTAGATGGATATCCCACCCCGCCCCCATCTAGGCAATGAGCGGATTTATTCTTTCCCATGGAGACTTATGAATCCAATTGGATTCTGAAATGCTCTGCAGGATCCGATGCCCTCCAGTGACTCATTAGATGCGCTGATAGAGGACTGGAATTCCCGTCCCTCTGAAGCCATTGATGAGATCGCCCCCGATGCCCTCTCCACTCCCGCGCTAACTTGTCTCCTGGTACGCAACGGAACTCGGGGATGAAACAGGAGCTGAGACAGCTAGAGTGAGTGTGGCAGCGAACTTGTGACAAAGAGGCAAGAACATTGTATAGGATGTTTATGAAAGCCTATGAGATGGCGGTGAAGGCTGAGAAGAAGGACTATTTCACAGCCTCCATCGCTTCTGCAAGCTCACACTCAGCACACTTATTTAGGGTAACGGGATCATTAACTTCTCTGGCTGAGAAAATGTTAGGAAATTGGTTCTTAGCTCTGAGGTTCTTCTGAGCTTTTTTGTGGGAGAAGTCTTGTCTCTCTGCCTCAGTCTCCCAGCCACTATTGATACAGTAAGTGAACTGAAGGCCCCTTGGCTGTCTTCGGAATCAGTTCTTGAAACCTTCCATTGGCTTTTCCGAGCCGATGTTGACAGAATTCTGGATGCTGTTAGGCCAACCACGTGCCTCCTAGACCCATGTCCTTCGTGGCTGGTGAAGGCTGGCGGTGAGGGTATACAAAGCCCCTTGGTAGACATTATTAATCTGTCTCTGGATTCAGGGGTCTACCCAGAGGGGCTGAAAGAGGTTGTGGTTGTTCTGCTCTTTAAAAAGCCAACTCTGGATCCTACCAATCCAGCCAATTACTGTCCAGTCTTGAATCTTTCATTTCTGGGTAAGATAATTGAAAGAGCAGTTACTGAGCAGCTCCAAAGTTTCTTGGATGAAATATAGGCAATGGACCCATTCCAGTCTGGTTTCCGCCTCAGCCATGGGACAGAGATGGCGTTGGTTGCCCTCATGGACAACCTTCGTAGGCAGCTGGATTGAGGCAGGTCAGTGCTGCTGATAGTGTTAGATCTTACAGCAGTGTTCGATGTGGTCGACTGTGATGTCTTGATCCACCACCTCGCTGACGTAGGATTCTGTGGGACAGTCTTGAAGTGGCTGATCTCATTTCTCCAAGGTCAGGGACAGAGGATGGCACTGGGAAGGAGGTGTCAACTAGACACTAATAAATGGAATGCCTCAGGGGGCAATCCTCTCCCCAGTGCTGCTTAATATCTATATGTGCCCCCTCACCCAGCTGGTTTGGAGCTTTGGGCTTGGGTGTCACCAATATGCCGCTGACACCCACCTGTATCTGCTGACGTGCGGCCGCCAGACTGAAAAACCTGGCTGAGGGTTTGGAGGCCGTAGTGGGATGGTTGAAGCAAAGCTGGTTGACGCTGAATCCAACTAAAATGGAGGTTCTGTGGCTGGGGGGGCGTGTGACTTGGGATTGGGGAGCCAATTCCCAGCCCTTGATAGGGTGCCTTTGACACTGGCACTTACCATCAAGAGTCTGGGGTTGATCCGGGACCCCCCTTTATCTATGAAGGCCCAGATCACCAATGTTGTCTGGCAGTCATTTTTCCAACTGTACCAGGTCAGACAGCTGTCTTGCCCTGACCTTGCCACAGTAATCCATGCAACGGTCACCTCCAGGCTGGATTACTGTAGTTCACTTTACATAGGGTTACCCTTGAAACTGACCCAGAAGCTCCAACAACTGGTACAAAATGTGGCAGCATGGGTCCTTACAGGGACCCCATGGAGGGCACACCTACATCCAGTGCTGCACAAACTGCATTGGTTGCCAGTGGCACACCGGATCAGATTCAAGGTTTTGGTGCTAACCTTTAAAGCCCTAAACAGTCAGGGGCCTTCATATCTTCAGGACTACCTCTCCCGATATGTCCCCCAAAGGGCATTAAGATCAGAGGATAAGAACCTTCTGCTGGTTTCCCGGCCCAAAAGATATCTGGCTGGCCTCGACCAGGGTCAGGACCTTTTCCGTGCTGGCCCCAGCTGGTGGAACTCTCTTCCAAGTGACATCCATGCCCTGTCTGATCTATTAAAGTTTCGCAGGGCATGTAAGGCAGAGAAGTTCTACCAGGCCTTTGGTTGAAGCCAGAGACCGTTCTTTATATCTGCCTGGCACCCTCCTCACCCTGACTGAACACTAGCATTGCTGTCTTGTTTTTAAAACGTTTAAATGTTTTTGAATGTTTTAAATATTGTGGTTTTAAGGTTTTAACTGATTTTACATTGTAACAAACCAAATTGGTGTGAACTGCCCTGAGCCCTACGGAAGCGGGGGGCGGGGGGAATCTAAATAGGGTGGGTAATACACTTAAAGTAAGAAAATTTAAATCTTCGATTGCTTGTGTTTGCCCAGCTCATGGAGAAAAGATGATTACGTTTCAGGCTGCCCCTGGTGTTAATAGAAGAGGAAGATAATTTTGCTTCTCAGTGAGTTATCTACCAGTATAAGATCTGGAATGTTGAATTTCTGAAGCAAAAACTAGTGATTAAAAGAGATTTTTGGTGGAACAGACCAGCACAGTTAAGATGGAATACCGGAAGATAAATCTGCCCAAGGGAAATACCCATTTTTTAATATGTCTTCCAAACTAACGGTTGCTGTTCAAATTCTTGCTTTCCTAGTCTTTTAAAGTACATTAATACAATTGGGAGTTTACATCCCCTCTCATATTTTTGGCCATTGAAACCCTTGGAAAATACTGTGGTGATGTCTTTAAAGGATCATTGGGGGGGGGGGAACAACCTCTGCTGCTGACGAATTTACTTGTGACTGAAACGCAGACTGAAAAATAAATGGTGGATTTTCCCCCCTTTTAGTGGCAGTCGTTTAGTAATGAAAGTGGATGCCCTCCTTTCTTCATTGCCGAAAACAGACGTCCGCCAAGATGTTGAATTTCTCAAAGAGCAACTCAGGTTAAAAGACTCTTAAGTAGTTTGTTTTGTTTAAATCATAATGCATTTGTGATTTTATGATACGTTAGTATATCCAAGCGTCATATATTATATAAGATCTTTCAAAACCTCAAGAAGCTGCTCATAGCGCTTGATTTACAACTAAATACATGGTGAATACTAGCCAGGCAATGAGCAATACTCTCCATCTAAAGTGATTTACGGCAGCCTCAAGTGCCCCACTTTGCCCATCAAACATGATGCAACTTCCAACACGGTGTTTTCTTGTATAATCTGAAAAATAAAAAACCCAAAATGTGCTCTCATAAGAAGAAGAAGAGATTGGATTCATACCCCGCCCTTCACTACCCAAGGGAGTCTCAGAGCGGCTTACAAACTCCTTTCCCTCCCCCTTCCCCACAACAGACACCATGTGAGGTACATGGGGCTGAGAGAGCTCCAACAGAAACTGCTCTTTTTCAAGAACAGCTGTGCCAGAACTATGGCTTGCCCAAGGTCATCCAGCAGGTGCAAGTGGAGGAGTGGGGAATCAAACCCGGTTCTCCCAGATTAGAGTCCACACACTTAACCGTGACACCAAACTGGCTCTGAGCTGAAATGCAGTTAAAGTACAGACAGGCTTTAAATACTTTTAGTGGAATACTTAGAATACAGACCTTCGCAGATTTCCTAAGACTTCATCGGCTAAATTCTTCATAATTGAAAATAAATGCTCTTCATTCTCACTTTGTGGTGAAACTACAAATGATGCAATTATGTGTGCTCACCCAGAATATATATTTGTTTTAGGGTTGCGAAATCTGGGTTGGGAAATACCAGGAGATTTTGGGGGCGGAGCCTGAAGAGGGCAGGGTTTGGGGAGGGACTTCAGTGTGGGGTATAATGCCATACAGTCCACCATCCAGAGCAGCCCTTTTCTCCAGGTGAACTGAACTCTGCCGCCTGGAGATCCGTTGTAATCCCAGGAGATCTCCAGGCACCACCTGGAGGTTGGCAGCCCTAGTTTGTATGATGTAACAGTTCCTGTAGATGAGTGGTCTCCAACATGGTGCCCATGGGCACCACAGTGCTCATCAAATGTTTTTACAACGTGGGTGTGGCGGGGGGGGGGCTCTTTCCAGCAGGGCTTCTGATTGGCTACTGGAGATCGGATTAAAACAGTGTTTTGGTGATAGCTGCCACCACAATGTTGGTTTTATTTTCTCTCACACACTTCTTTCTCTGTGTGTTTTTAATTACACTTCTCCTTTATACTTGAGCTTCATCGGTGTGTCTCTTTGGCTCCCCCTTCTATGGCTGCCATTTTGTGGCAGGCCCTGCCTTCTGTGGCAGCCATGTTACGGTTGCACCCACCGCTTTTTGTCAGAATTCCAAAAGGTGCCCATAGGCTGGAAAAGGTTGGAGACCCCTGCTGTAGATGTTGTGCCTTCAAATCTCACATGACCTTTTCCATATCTGATTTCCCCTCTCCCTTTCTGCAGTGTACTGAAGTTAGAGCCACAGCAAAATGAACCTTTCCTGGATGTCGTTGGTATTGTAGATCCATTGACACGAGAAGCACAGAAGTTGGCACACTTACTAATTGTAAGTTTTCACTTGCTTCTTGACTTTGGGTCAGCCACGTCCTCTCTTGGGGTTGATCTGCCTCACAGAGTAGTTCCTTGAGATACTTGAGGGAAGGATAGGCAGCAAATGTGGCACATGGAATATAATAATTTTTAATACCACTGAGGAGAGAATGTATTTCAAATTGATTACCTCATTGGAAAACTACTGTAATGTGTGGGTTTTTCTATTTATGAGGGTTTTCCTCCCAGCCACTTTTTTCAGCCAAGTGATGACGCTTCATGGTGTCTAACCAGGGCTTTTTTTGTAGAAAAAGCCCAGCAGGAACTCATTAGCATAATAGGCCACACCCAACAGCAGAAACACATTAGCATATTAGGCCACACACCCCATGCCTTCCCTTGGCTTGTCTGGTCACCCCGTGGCTGTGGGGAGCTCAGGCGAGCCAAGCCTTGGACAGGCCGGGGAAGGCACGGGGAGGCATTTAATCCTTCCAGGGACCCCCTGGCCTGCTGGCCTCGGAGTCACGGGGGGGGGGGGGTTGTCACTCTCCAGGCCTTCCCTCTGTAGCCTCCCACACAGAGGTTTTGGCTGTAGTGGGTGTGGTCAACTCTGAAGCCAGCCGGAACTCCGTTCCTGTGCGTTCCTGCCCAAAAATAGCCCTGTGTCTAACAAATGTAAAAACTCATAGGTTTCTCCTGAGTACCTCCCCCCCCACAAATCCTGGAGCCAGGACAGGGAAGTTGACCTCAAAGATGGGGGAGAGGACAGGTCTACTGTGCCTTCTAATCTCTATGTGCAACTGCAGATCCTGGTAATGGGGGCAGTTGTTTGCCCTTCCTTCTTTACAGCAAATTTTTCTCAGACACTGTTTATAATCTATCAAAGCCTGGGTCTTCCCCTCTCCCTGGTGTTGCCCTCTGACCTCACTAGCTGACTTGTGATCTCCAAAGGATGTTGTTGCCCACCATTTAAGTGGGAAATCGAGGTCATATGGATAGCTACTCTTCCTGCAGCTGCTAAAAATGACACCTCACCAAAACAAGTAAAAATTCGCCCCTCCCTTCAGCAGCAGGAAGAACTTTTGACCTCCGGAAAGTAAGAGCCTTATCCAACTTCTTCTCCTCATTCCTAGGGGGCTTGAATAGCAAACTACTTCTCCCCAGCAGGGGGAGAGTAGGAGGAAACAGCATTATTTCTTCCCCGCTTAAACTCAAGAGTCTGTGTATGCTCATAAACTGTCAACTTCAAAAAAGGGAGGGGGGGTTAATTGTGTAAATGTTTGTAAGCCACAAAATATAAAGGTTAGGAAGCTGTTTAAAATATATGGCTCAGTCTCTGGGTACTTCATTTAATGCAAAGAATAAAAGAGCTTATCCCCAGAAGAACGTTTGTGTGTCTAGAACTAGAGACGGTCCTCAGAAACCACTTTTTAAAATGTGAGAAATGTTTCTGTCAGGTTCTTGGTCAGGTTGTCAACATGAGGGTGAAGCTGTTCATGAACTGTAGAACCAAGCTGTCAGAAGCACCTTTGAATAGGTAAGTAGGAGGCAAAAATGTGTTTGGTGAAATTTGTGATGTAACACAAGATGTGTCTTGAAGGAGTAGTCTTGCCTGTAGGGCGGTCACTTACCTTGGCCATTCCAAAATCCGGCGGTCAACATTCCTCTCAGTACCCTCAAGTGCCTACTCGTCAAACTCTCCACAGGTTGCAGAGATCGCTCTTCCACTTTTTTTATTTCCCACAAAGACTTGGTCTTCCAGCCTTGTCAGGTGCCCAAGCATCAGCTCCCTGCTGTCTCTTCTCTGAATCCTAAAAAGGTACATGTTATTTGCGTGTGTGTAAAGTGCCATCTCGCCATAGCCGACATATGGCAACCCTGTAGGGTTTTCAAGGCAAGAGACGTTCAGAGGTGGTTTGCCATGGCCTGCCTCTTTGTAGCAACCCCGGACTTCCTTGGAGGTCTCCCATCCAAGTACTAACCAGGATCGACGACACTGCTTAGATTTCGAGAGCTGATGAGATTGGGCTAGCCTGGGCCATCCAGGTCAGGGATACATGGTTCAGAGGTCATTTGGGGGGGATCGCAGTTCCCCCGGGTGAGGTGCAGGGGGGCGGGGCACACGACAAAGCCCCGCCCCTTCTTCCGGCCGCCCCCTTCTTCCAGCCTCATTCTGTTGCAGAAGGAGGAAGAATCAGGAGGGTAAGTTGGCGTCCTCCCCCTCTGCCTGGCCGAGGCCACTCCACGTGGCCTCCGCAAGGACTCCCAGCCCCATCCAGGAGCTTCCCCAAGGTAGCTGTGTTAGTCTGTTGCTGCAAAATAGTCCAAGAGTTCAAATAGCACCTTTAAGACTAACCTTTAAGACTAAGACTAACTGAGTGGTGGGTGTGGCCTTATGACACACTTCCGGTGATGGCAGTGGGTGTGGCCTTATGACACACTTCTGGTGATGTCAGGGGTGTGTGGTCTCATGACACACCTCCGGTGATGTCAGGGTGTGTGGCATATGCTAATGAGTTATGCTAATGAGTTCCCCTAGCTCTTTTTCTATTAAACGACCCCTGACATGGTTTATAATATGTTTAAAAGATGCACAGCAGAAATGCAGGAATTCTCCATCCTTTGGTGTGTAGATGTAACCTTAGTGGTGTATTAATGCCGCAAAATTGTCCTTTAATCAAAGTATGTCCTCACAGTAAGAAAGCTCATAATTAGAAACGCTTATCACAGCTAATAGTATTACCATTTATTTATCATTTTTGCTGTATTTGCTTTTTACTTTGTAACCAACAGCCAGGAAACCTGTTCCTTTTACCAAACTAATTAGATCATTTGTTACAATATTACGAATTTCTGTGGCTTGTATTTTGCTTTCTCTCAGGCATAAAATGGAATTTTGGGCAGGAAATTAATCATTATCTGCTTCATGTTTGTGACAGGGTAGTGGACTTGCCCAAAGAATAGGACACATTTTGCTTGCAAACGCTATATCCTGAAATGCTGTTCTATTTTTAGGGGGGTAGTGGTGATTGCTACATTCACAGCAAGTGTTGACCATGAACAGAATGTTTTGTTGAGGATTGGACTAGTAGTGGTTGCGCATGATTCAGATTTGAGTTAGAACTTTTATGAAGCGTTTCGAAGTTAAAAATAAAGCGACCAAAAGGTCTCCTTCCAGACTTTGTGAATTAAGGACTTACGACTTCACAAATAGTGTTGCTAGAAGCAGGAGCCCGCAAGGAATTTGCAGGGAGGGAGCATCCCATTCCCTCTGCCTTTGTTTTGTCTCCCCCCACGTTTTTTTCCTGGCACACATCCCCTCTTTCATTTCAGATTTTTCTGCAAACCTTGGGGGTCCCCAAGTTTGCAGAAACCTCTGTTTACTATCAGTGTGGGCCTGATCCTTGGATTTAGAGATCTGCTGATTGGCCCATACTTGGCTATTAGGTATAAACAAGGCTTTTCTTTTCTTTCTTTTCTTTTCTTTTCTTTTCTTTTCTTTTCTTTTCTTGAAAAAGAGGTGCTAGAACTCTCAAGAAGGAAATGTTTTCAGTCTGTACACTGAAAACTCATGAACATTTAAACATTCCAAAAAGAATTTGGTTGAAGAGGTTCTAGAACTCCACTCCCACACATTCCCCGAGAAAACAAAGCCCTGGGTATAGATATGCTAATAAACAATGAGTATGTGGAATAGATTTAAAGCAATTAAAGATGAATGTCCCTTTTTTTAGCAATGCAAATAGAAATATGAAGGCCTAGAAAAATGTTTTTAAAAAGGTGTCTCCCCCAGTTACTTTCAAAGACTTACTTTTCCAATGGAAAAACTGGGAATTTTTTTACAACACTGGGGGGGGGGCTTCTAGGGACTCTTTTCCCCTTTGGAATGGTGTAAATGCTTTTCAAGGACTCAGGACAAGTTGTTATACTTTCAAAATATACTGTATGAAGAGTTTTATGTTAGACAATCTGTAGCATTATCAAATGATAATACTGTGTTTGTTTCAGTTTATTAATAGACCACCTTTCAACTAAGAATCCCCAGGGCAGTTTACAGCATAGTAATATATGACACCATTTCTTATTATTCTTCTGTAAAGGGCCTTCCGTAGAGGGCAGGTCTTCAAACCCATCTGGATGGCCTTTAGGTGAAGCAACTGTACTGCAAGCACATACAATATTTTTAAGGATATATTTACTAATTGTTTACATTTGGCACAGTTAATATGCTATGATGTGTGTGATGATAGTAACCCTATAGACTAGTTCATTGTTTCAGTGTGCTAAAGTTTAACTTGATAGATATGTTACTAGACCTATTATGACTTTATAAGATTGTTCTCATACAAGTAATAGACTTTTTTGTTTTCTACAAAATGTCTGTTTTTGGTGTTCTTTTTTAATACCTCTCAGAAAGCAAAAAGTAAGATGCACATGTGATGGTAGCACAGGGTGTAGCTGTTCGCAGTTCTTTCTCTTACTTTTGTATAGAGCGTGTTTGTCATTTTGCTTGTGGAAAAGAAGGGCACTTATAGTTTTACATTTCATAAATATGTCAGCTATTAAGCTAAGCCTGAAATTATGCATTTTATGTTAAAGTAATAAAAGAAATGTAGAGTTGATAGGAAAATGCATATATTTCATTTCCCCCCTCCAAATTCCATTTTTCACCAGGGGGTGTTGTTCCATGGTTTCAAAATTTCCAGAAGTTGTACATCGCTAGATACAAAATTTTGCAGCTGCTTTTTAATCTGTCATTTTTCACTCTTGTCTAACACCTGCCTTCTTGTTTTATTTCTGTTCACAGTTTTTATCGTTTTGTTTTGGAGCCAGAACTCACTTCTGGGACCCATAACGTCTTTCCTCGTGCACCTGGAGCAAACTTCTTGGAAATGCCCGAATCCCCTCTTCTGACTCTAAACATGATCACTCCAGAAAGCTGGATTGTTGAAGCAGTGAACAGTTCTTACGACCTTGATAACATTCACTTAAAAGAGGTAAGTACTAGTTCCTGAACAAAATTGGAGGAATTATGAAGTATAAATCAGCAAATTTGTGAACTTTTAGATACTTTGTTTTTTTTAAATCTTTAACTTTTCTAAAGAGAAATGTTCCAAGGTTTCAAAATGTAAAACTGCCCAAGCACAGTATGTTTAATTATGACATCTAATGTCTATCGTAATATTGCTGAGTCCTTATGAGAAAAAGAATATACTTGAATCCATACTACCCAACAGAGCCAGAAAATAGGTGTTAAAAAATAGCAAATGTTTTTATCCAAAAGTTCCTTTAGAAAATGCCCGTGGTCTTACACAATATACATGCATATGGAAATCTGGGGCTAATTTCCTTTGTCTATCATCATCCCCTCCTCCCCACACAGTATAGACTGTTTTGTGATGCACCATCATCACCATCTTGTTTTAAGAGGTGCTTAAAGGAAAAGGTTCCCTCGCTCGAAAGCCAGTCGAATTCGACTCTAGGGTTGCGGTGCTCATCTCTGTTTCAAAGCCGAAGAGCCAGCGCTATCCGAAGACGTTTCCGTGGTCATGTGGCCGGCATGACTAAACACCAAGGCGCACGGAACGCTGTTACCTTCCCACCGAAGCGGTACCTATTTATCTACTTGCAATTTCTTGCTTTCGAACTGCTAGGTTGGCAGGAACTGGAACTAGAGACGGGAGCTCACTCCGTCATGCGGCAACTCGGGTCTCGAACTGCTGAACTCCTGACCTTCCACAGCCTGCAGTTCAGTGTCTTAACCACTTGAGCCACCGCAGCTCCTTAAGAGGTGCTTACCACACATTATAAGAGCTGCTGATGCTGCTGAAGGATAAAATAGGTGTTACGCTAGTTACAATTCTAGGACCTGTGAAAAATTCACAGGGAGGAGAATTTTCATTCCTCCACTTCCTTTCCCCTTCCTTCCATCCCCTTGTGCTTGTCACCACCTTCTCCTCTTTATTTATTTATTTGCATTTTTACCCTGCCCTCTTCCCCCTAACCTCCCGTCACTTCTGATTCCTCCTCCGCACACTGCTTAGAAGAGAAGCCAGTGTTGGATCAGGCCAGTGGCCCATCCAGTCCAACACTCTGTCACACAGTGGCCAAAAATACCAGGTGCCATCAGGAGGTCCAGCAGTGGGGCCAGGACACTAGAAGCCCTCCCACTGCTGGCCCCCCCAAGCACCAAGAATACAGAGCATCACTTGCCTCAGACTGGGAGTTCCTGTCTATACCTTGTGGCTAATAGCCACTGGTGAACCTCTGCTCCATATGTTTATCTAATCCCCTCTTGAAGCCGTCCATGCTTGTAGCCGCCACCACCTCCTGTGGCAATGAATTCCATGCGTTAATCACTCTTGGGGTGAAGAAGTACTTCCTTTTATGCGCTCTCACCCAACTGCTCAGCAATTTCACTGAGTGCCCGTGAGTTCTTGTGTTGTGAAAAAGGGAGAAAAGTACCTCTTTCTCTACCTGCTCTATCCCATGCATAATCTTGTAAACCTCGATCATGTCACCCCTCAGCCGTCATTTCTCCAAGATAAAGAGACCCAAGTGTCTTAACCTTTCTTCATAGGAAAAGTGTTCCGACCCTTTTGTCATTCTAGTTGCCCTTTTCTGCACTTTCCCCAATGTTATAATATCCTTTTTGAGGTGGGGTGACCAGAACTGTACGCAGTACTCCAAATGAGGACGCACCATCGATTTATACAAGGGCATTATGATACTGGCTGATATGTTTTCAATTCCCTTCCTGATAATCCCCAGCATAGCGTTGGCCTTTTTGTTATTGGAGTCGCACACGGTCTCATTCTCTCCATTGGCCCTCCTGCCCTGGCTTCCTCCCCCTTCTCTCTACCGCTCCTAACTCTTAAAAAAATTCCTAGTTGTATGGGATTCCTAAGCAATTCCATGATGTCATGGGATCCTGATTAGCATTTCTTAAAACCTGTGATATGTGCGTGCACACACACAAACACACACACACTGCTTCTCCATATAACTGCCCCCCCAGTATTGTTTCTGTACCTGATCCCACGACGCAGATTTTTTGATCCTTAGTTTGAGGTCACATTCAGAATTAGACATATGACATAGAAACAACTTATCGCCTCTCCTTGTAGATAGATCCAGGTGGGTAGCTGTGTTGGTCTGAAGCAGAAGAACAAAGTTTGGAGTCCAGTGGCACCTTTAAGACCAACAAAGTTTTATTAAAGGTATGAGCTTTTTGTTTGCATGCACATACATATATAAGGAAGAGGTTGAACAGCAGATTAGCATACAGCATAATGTAGATGTTTTAACAGATGCAAACAGAAATAACAGGTTAAGTTTATACTTATACTTATGCACAACACCGCCTAGTGACCCCGGGCCCTAAGGAGGCCAGGCTTGTTGCCACAAGGGCCAGGTCCTTTTCGGTGGCGGCTCCTATCTGGTGAAATGAGCTCCCGGAGGAGATCAGGGCCCTGTGGGACCTGGTACAGTTCTCTAGGGCCTGTAAGACGGAGCTCTTCCGCCAGGCTTTTGAATAGGAGCCGCCAGCGCTACCACCAACGGATGATCGCAGAGCAGTACCGCCAGGTTGGGCTGATTGGCCACCTGAACATCGTGGCCGATGGCACCCCTCTCATTGACCCCAATTTGATGTACAATAGGGAGTGAGCATATTAGTTGCGATGGATCCTGGGAGTTGTCCACTGTGTTTAAACTGTTTTAATTGTATTTTATTGCACTGCGTGCCTTAATTGTTTTGAACTTGTGGTGTTGTATTACACCTCGGTGTTTTGTAAGCCGCCCTGAGCTCGTGTGCGGGGAGGGCGGGTTATAAATGAAATACAATAAATAAATAAATATAATGTCACCATTGTTTGGGTTTAAATCCATGCTTGAGAGGAGACCGATGGAGCATAACAACAAGGTCTCAGGTAATTATTTTTAGCACTCTACTATTAAGAATGACATATTTACTGATCTGTCTCCAATTTTTACACATTTATTTGCTTCACTGTTCCCCCCCCATAATTAAATCCAAACAACGGTGACCTTATAAACTTAGCTTGTTATTCCTGTTTGCATCTGTTAAAACATCATTATGCTGTATGCTAATTTGCTGTTTAACCTCTGCCTTATATATGTATGGACTGGTAAATTCCATTTCATTGTATCTGAGGAAGCGTGCGTGCACATGAAAGTTCGTACCTTGAATTAAACTTTGTTGGTCTTAAGGTGCCACTGGACTCAAACCTTGTTCTATTGCCTCTGCTTGTGTTACTGAGAACATTGCACTGATGAGCATTTGGGGTTGAGAGACTTGTAAGAATAGAGTAGTGTTCAGGTTCTAACCCTCCAGTATATTTAGAACTAGTAGGCTGGCAAGATCAGGTACTTACCACAACTGTTTAGAGATCCACTAAAGTGAGAGCAGACCCTAGAGTCTCATAGACATCATGGGTAATGTTGGGGTGCGCTGTCACATCGCACTAAGCTCAGCTAGGTCAGAGGCAGTTAAGTTCTGTATTCTTCCTGGGGACCCAAAGACCAGGAGCCAGCCTTGCTTTTGCATTTATTAAAAGCTAATTATCAGCTTTATCCAAAATATGTGGAGGAAGATAAGTCCCAAATAGGAGCTGCTGTAATAGAATCGTGCTGCATTTGCATATATAGCTGCTTACGGAGTGGGGAAGGAAAAGAAGTCTATTGTGATTTGGGTGAAGACTGAGGATCTGATGTAATTACCACACACCAGGGCCTTTGTAGTTAACGCAGAGTGTGATTATTTTCCTTCCTTGTGTTTAAAGGAAGGCCTCAGTTTGGACACTATTGACTACTATTCACCGGCTTTCACGACCACTAAAATTTAGTGCTAATTCCTTTCCCAGATTGGTCTGTCTGCAAAAAGAGTTCTCCTCTGCATGTTGAAAATTCCGAGGAAAGGAAAAGACTCCCACCAACAGTTTGGACAGCTGGCAGTGCTGAAGCGGCAGGGCAATACTTTAATTTTACTCTGGGTGTTACCCTGTGCTCTGAAGGGCAAATTAGACGTGACATGACAGAGCCTAATTGCAATTCTCTTGCGGTTTTTAAAAGCTGTATCAAGACCCCACAGCAGCCTAGTAGCCCAGACTAGTCCAAGCTCATCAGAGCTTGGAAGCGAAGCAGAGTCAGACATGTTTAGTTCTGAGATGGGAGACTACCAAGGAAGGCTGAATTTGCTATGCAGAAGCAGGCAGTGGCAAACCACCTCTGCTCATCCCTTGAAAATCCCAGGGTCCTGGAGTTGCTATGCATTGGTTGCAACTTGATGGAGCACTATTATTGGTAGTGGTAGTAGTAGTAGCCCTACATGGCTACTTTGAATTGAGGTTGGGGAAGGACCTCTGAGCTAGGGGTTATGTTAAACAGTTCTTCCTAAGGCTCTTTCACAATTAAAGTAGTCCCTTTCATACTGTGATTATTCCTTGTGAGAAGAAACAGATAGGCACCTAACTCAAGCCTGTCTTCCTACTCCAGAACAAATTTAGAGTCCGGGGGGGGGGGATGTGCAGATCTGTCCTCACAGCTTGTACCTGAAAAAAACTTGGTCTTAAAGGTGCCACTGGACTGTTTTGGATTGCTAGCTTCAGATGAAGTTCTAAACTTCTAAAAAAAGGTAAAGGTTCCCTTGCTCGAAAGCTAGTCGAATCCGACTCTAGGGTTGCGGTGCTCATCTCCGTTTCCAAGCCGAAGAGCCAGCGCTGTCCGAAGACGTTTCCGTGGTCATGTGGCCGGCATGACTAAACACCAAGGCGCACGGAACGCTGTTACCTTCCCACCGAAGCAGGGACTTAACAGCCAATTAAAGTCCCTGGCTATAAGTTTAGAACCTCATCTACACGAAAGCTCATACCTTGAATAAACCTCCGTTGGTCTCAAAGGTGCCCCCCTGGACTCCAAATTTGTTCCACTGCTTCAGACCAACATGGCTGACCACCTGGATCTTCCTACTCCAAAGTTAAGTACAGATTAGGAGGGGGGAGGGTTTTAGTGTTGGAAGGACCATCTGGAGAAAGTTTAGATACCTGATCCCCGAATAACTCTCCCGCTCCCTATATTGCCACCAGCCCCCTCGGACTGCTAATTGTGATTTCAAAAAGCTGCTAGAGGTCCTAATCACAGATGCTCTAGAAAAGAAAACTACCAGAGGCTGCTGTGGCCGAGTTTCCTAGTTTGGGAGTCTCAGGTACTGCCGGAACTGAAGTGCAGTTCATTGCTTGGAAAAAAGATAGCCTCCACGGTTGGAGCAGGTGATGTGGGGTGACAACGGTGCCTCCAGTTCGTTTCTCCTCTCCAAAAATGCAGAGAGAGGCAAAGATATCACTCTTTCATCTTGCCCTTCCTCGCAGGAGTTTGTGAGCATGTACATGGTGCCACCCCCCCACTGAGGCATCTTTCTGCTGTTGGAACCCTCCTTTTGCCTCACAGAGGAGAACGCCTAGTCATGCATTCCCTTATTAGGCCCGGTCACACGGGCCGGATATCGCCGGGGGGGGGGGAGGTGTGGCTGTTTGCCCCAGAGCGAACTACTGCGCAGCAGCGGGATCAAATGTCCCGCTGACTTCCTGTGGTTGGGGGGAGGTGCCGATCATACCTCACTCCTGTGGCGCGGCAAAGAAGCGGATCGGTGGTTTTTTTTTTCTTTTAATCCAAGTATTCGCATGTGCCGTTGGGTGCTTGTGCGCATCCGTGGAGACTTGGGGGGGGAAGCCTTTTCATGACGGGACATGGGCGGGCACCGGATGCCACCGGAAACGTGATCAGACGCCCGCCCTTGCCCCGCGGTTTCCGGAAACTAGTACCTCTGAGGTACTAGTTTTTTACCCCGCATCTTCAGCGGGAAGCCTCGGGTGAGCCACAGGAGCTCTATGCTTCCCAGATGTGGCGGTGAGATTGCGCCCGGAAAATCCGCCTATCTTCTGTCCCTCTAGTGTGCCTAATGCTCCATGTGACCGGGGCCACAGAACTGCAAGATTTCTATAGCAAGAAATATAAGCCATGTCACGGCCTTTGCTTTCAGTAGGACTGAGCATTGGTATCTTACATCCCAAAACATTTTGCCATCCTTATATATAGATATATATATTTCCTTTCTTCTTGTAAGTGGGCTTCTAAAACACTGTATTTTCACAGGTGGAGGGCATCGTTGCAGCAGAGTATGAATTAGAATATTTGCTGCTGGAAGGACATTGTTTTGATGTCACCACTAGACAGCCACCTCGTGGGCTGCAGTTCACTCTGGGAACCAAGAATAATCCTGTGAAGGTTGATACCATTGTGATGGCTAACCTGGTAGGTATTGGCTGAACTTAGCTGGAATGAAGTGGGGGGGTTTTGCTATGGAGACAGTATTTTCAAAAGTAGAGTCGACATTCATGTCTTAGAATGAGTGTTCGAAGTAAAGCTGGGATAGCAGTGGGAAGAGGAACAACTAACTAAATCCACTAACTGGGAGGAAATCTCTCTCCTCTGAATATGCCGGTGTGTAGTTAAGAAGATGGGCTGCTTTGATTTGGATGTGAGCTTTGAAGTCTGTTTTGGACTATTTATAGTAAACTTGAATTCCGTTTTTGGAGGGTAGATACTGTTTGTTCATGAATATATGATGAGAGCTAGACACAAAGGCATGGTTTTATTGTGCTGTTTTTTATCAGTTCCTGCCCCCCCCCTTCATCAAACCCCCACATTAAACTCAGTGCTGTTTCTGGGTGCCCCCGGAAACCCCTGGTAGCATTTTGGGGGAACAGTGAACTACTGCAGTACAGGGAAGGGAGGAAGTTCCATTCCATGACTGGAGATGACTATACGTTGGCTATTTGATTATAGATATAAGCGTACCTATCACTCTCTACCAAAGCATATCCATCCACCATCCTGATGAACCAACGGTATCCCCCGTACCCCCCCACCAAACAACAAAGTGTTTTTGTATTTTAGGGATATTTTCAGTTGAAAGCAAACCCAGGCGTCTGGATTTTAAGGCTGCGTGAAGGAAGATCTGAAGAGATCTATGAAATATTCAAGTAAGTCCTAAGGTCATCTTGGAACAATATTTGTGAACACAGCAAGACACCAGAGTTGCTTTCAGGATACTATCAAAGGCCTTGTTGTAAGATGCTGTTAGTTTTGATTATCATCTGATATGGCACCACCATAATTAATTTTGCTTGCTCCTTCTATCCACATCTTCTGCAGAACTGATGGTGATCAAAACGTTTGTGCTTAGACAGGAGCCTGTATTTTTAGTCTCTTTCTTCCCGTTTCAGCTGAAGTGGGAATTTGACAGACTTGCAGTATAAACCAAGCCCAAATCTATTTAAATGTTCTGTGATTCTATACATAAGAGAGGGAGAGATTAAAAGGAGACAACAGTGAAAGATGTGGTGAACACATCTTTGCATACATTTGCATATTTTAAATCTCTTTTGTTTATGGTGGCCAACCCAGATACAATGGGGTCGTAATTCATATATAAAGTGGGAAGGGGTGGTGGTCTTGCATTGACAGGAGGGAGAACTAAGAGCACTGTGCAACCCTAACCAGTATTACATCCTTTAAGCGCCCAATGGCACTATTGACACCTCGGAGAGGAACCAGGTTTCCATCAGAGTGATTCCCCACCCGTTTCGTGGCATGAATTTATTGGGTGTTGGATTTAAATTACTTGCCGCTTGCAGTTATTAGGTATTTTAGTAGGGCTGCCAAGTGTATCTTCGCTGGGAGCGGGGGGCTCCCGGCCGGCATCTTGTGCATGCGCGCGCGGGGCGCACGCACGTCACCCAGAAGTGACGGGAGGACACCAGGCACACTGGGGGCGGGGGCACGGCCATACAAGGGAAAACCATAGAGTTTTCCCTTGTATGGCCGTGGCCCCGCCCCCAGCGTGCCCACATCACTTCCTGGTGACGCATACGTGGGGGTGGGGTTCCCCCCGGGGCCCGATTCCACGGCGGCGGAAATCGGGCCTCCAAAGCGGGGGTTTACCCACCCCCCGCCCCTACTTGGCAGCCCTATATTTTAGATTAGTGACATCAATTTTAATCATGTCAGAATTTAACTTAATATTAATGTTTTAATGGACTATTGTTCTGAAACGTATGTACGGTTTCATGCCATGATGTAAGCTGCCCTGAGCCCCCTTGGAGGTAGGGCAAGATAAAAATCCCCAAAATAAAATAAGAAATGAAGTCCATTGACCTCCTGCTGAGGCCTAGCCCCCAGAAATGGGGAAAAATTAAGTTAAAATATGTAACTATGTACTAATTTTCTTTCCATCGTGAGTACATATTCCAAAATTTGTTCTTAGTGCAGGACTTGAGTTACTCTGGCTTAGAATTTTCACGTCCTGCCATGATCCACTTTACTGCAAAGTGCGCCAAATCCTAGAGGATTTTGTTGAAATTAGACAGGTTCGGTTTGTTGTTAGCTTGTAGATTCACGGTGTAATCATGCATTTTCCCCCCGAACATATTAGCTTTCAGGCGACCAGCCTCCTCCTTGTAATTAATTCTTTTTAAAAACTCCTCTGCTATTTAGACATTACGTTGATGCTGTTCGTGACAACAATCATCATCTTGAAGTAGCTGCACCTGTGAGCCAGAATCTCTTACGATGTGTCACTGTGGATGACAGCAGTTCTAAATTTGCTATGTCGAATGACAAGATTTCAGCCTGATTATATTATGATTCATTTGCAGTCCAATCCTGTGCCTTCTCTGATTAAAACATCATCAGGTGCTCTGGGGGGGGGGGGCCTCAGGCCAAGAGCCTGGGGGGGTCAGGTACCAGTCCCTATACTTTGCACCACCAATGCTGCTAGTTTGTAGGGTTGCCAACTCTGGGTTGGAACATTCCTGGAGATTTAGGGTTGGAGCCTGGGCAGGATGGAGTTTGGTGAGGGCCTTCAGTAACATTTAGTTCACGTCACGTCACGTCACGTCACAACCTTTATTGGCATATATCGGAGTACAGGAGCATATAGTTGCATAGAGTCCATCCCCCAGAGCAACCATTTATTCCAGGGGGAACTGACCTTGGTAGTCCGGGGATCAGTTGTCGTTCCAGGGGATCTCCAGGCTCCACTTGGAGGTTGGCAAGCATGGCCATTGGAAGAGGATACTGTTTGTCGCTCAGGAAAGCAGCACAGGGGAGGGCAGGTAAACCCACATGGCTCTTGTAGCTTGAGCACCACAGCTCCCGACAACGTTACAGACAGAGCAGGCACAGGACTAGACTGCAAATGAATCACAACAATCGGACCAAAATCTTGTTGTTTGGCTTGTGCTGAACATTACGTCTAGTTTGGACCTTAAGGAGTGACTGGGCCAAGGTCACTCAGCAAGCTTCATGGCAGAATGAGGGTCTGAACCTAGATTTCCCTGATCCTAGTCTTGGCACCTTTAACCATGGCACAACAATGTTAGAGATGGCTTTAAAAGGGGGATTAGACAGCTCCCTGGAAGATGGGTCTGTCAACAATCCCTAGTCCAAGGGATTGCTGGTAAGGACCCGCAGAACACAAAATTACAAAACCCTGGGTGTGTGAGTCTACACACACACACAGTCTTAGTAGCTGCCACCAAGGGCAAGCGTCTGACCTTTCTGGGACTAAACAAGAAATTCAACCCTGCAAGGTAGGCCAGTTGCAGAATGAGTTCCCACAACACAATTAACTTGGTAGGTGAACAATCAGTCTAGGCTCTGGATTCAGGTTGAAGCCACCCGAAGAACAAAACCCCACAGTGGTGATTAAAAAGAATTTATTAAAAGTGTGCAGGAATATTTTGAAAAGAACATGAGCAGTGAGGAATTAAAATAACAAAGCTAAATTCAAAGACTAGCTACACAGTGAGACATTGGTTCAGAATTACCATGTTACCCTTCTTAGCTAAAGACGTTCAGCATTCAAAAGTCCACTCTGTCCAGAGTAACCATTGGACTGGCAGGGTGCCTGGACCATAGTAGTCAAGCGCTCATGAGTAACGCATCCAGAATCCGATGAGCAAGATAGCCATGCATGAATACAAGCTACAAGCCAGCAACCGATTGAACGGGCTAAACTTTATGGTCAAAAATCCAATGTGGTCTGGGGCCCTTAGACCAATTAGATCCTTGGTCTGGGGCCTTTAGACCAACTAGACCCCAATTGGTGGGGTGACTCGGCATATGACCTCAAGGAAGTCTAAACTAGGATGAGCTAGCAGGGTGATCTGCAGCTTCATCCTCCCAGCTGTAGCAGGTGTAAATCATGACACTAATTAAATGGAATGCAATTAATTGGTTGCTAGGATCAAGTGGTTAAGACGCTGAACTGCAGGCTGTGGAAGGTCAGTAGTTCAGCAGTTCAAGACCCGGGTGCCGCATGATGGAGTGAGCTCCCGTCTCTAGTTCCAGCTCCTGCCTACCTAGCAGTTCGAAAGCAAGAAATTGCAAGTAGATAAATAGGTACCACTTTGGTGGGAAGGTAACAGCGTTCCGTGCGCCTTGGTGTTTAGTCATGCCGGCCACATGACCACGGAAACGTCTTCGGACAGCGCTGGCTCTTCGGCTTTGAAACGGAGATGAGCACCGCAACCCTAGAGTCGGATTCGACTGGCTTTCGAGCAAGGGAGACCTTTACCCTTACCTTTTAGGATGCCATAATTCTATCCTTGGCAACAAAGGAGGAGGCAGAGATAAGGATTACTCCATTCCTTACACCTGGACTGTTATATTATGAGGTCAGCTTACTAAATCTTCACGGTTGTTTTCCATTTGGACTTACTTTCAGGCCTAGAGATTGGAATGAAGCCTGAACCAATGTTTAGCACAAAACAAGAAACTGCAGTAGGGACTCAGTTTCTTGACAAGTGGCTACTGACCATTGTGACTAGATATATAGAGAACCTTTGGCATGTGGCCATAGTGACTAAAAGGAATTTCCATATTCAGAGGCAGTAAACCTCTGAATCCCAGAGCCAAGAGTCAACATCAGGGGAAGACCTTTCCTCTGTGCACTGTTGGTGGACCTCCAGAGGAACTGCTTAGCCACTGTGTGAGACAGGGTGCTGTACTAGGTGGACCATTGGTCTGATCCAGCAGGGCTCTTCTTATGTTCTTACTGAGGCAGGTAATAATACTGGTGACAGTGACACAGAACACCTGAGTAAGTTGTGAAATACACCTTACTGAAAAGAATTAAAATTTTCTATCTGTTGTGTGTTGAAAAAAATCGCATTCTGCAATAACCTTCAGATTTCCCTTGTCTATCTGGGGGTAGGTATGGACATGAAGACCTGTTAGCACGTTAGACAAATTAAACAGATATGGAAAAAACAGTCTTTGCAGAAGTGTCTTGATGGACATCCAGTAATCCTGAGCTGGGGGGGGGGGTATGTGTGACAGTGTAATTTAGAAATTAAATTGGGTATTCCCTGAATAGCATGTATAAACATATTGATTAGGAGAGAGACTGGATAGTTTGTAAAATAAGGCTGAGGTCATTATTGTGACCAAATCTCTCAGAAAACCAAAACCGTAGAAAATGAAATAATGTAACAAGCTGGCCGAGGCCCAGGGGTTCATGACCATAGATTCTAAGCAGTCTGCAAGTCTTAAATTCTTTAAATTGGCAAGGGTTCCTGGAAAAATGTGTTGGCATTGTGCTAATTATGATTGGTGGGTGGCAAAATGGCTTCTGTTTCACTTTGGCACCCGGCTTTTTGAAAGGCCTTCTAAAAGAAGTGAACGTTTTGAGGACATTCAGTATTATGCAGTGACGTTACCGTCAAAACCATATGGCTTGCCTTAAGCATTCAACACGTGTTCTAAGAACTCAAAACATCAAGAAGTGGTAAGATTTAAGAAGGAAGCATCTTCTTTCAGTTGTAAAACATACTGGTGAACCTTTAGTATGGCCCAGGCACGAAACCCCCCCTTTGCATGTTCTAGCACTAGACAGCATTGGCCTTCCAACAGTACAAGGGAGCTGTCTTGAGCGTCTCAGTGTATTTATTTCCTTCATTTATACCCCAGCTTGCTCCCCAGTGGGCCCCCAAAGCGGCTTACGCCATTCTCCATTTTATTTTTACAAGTCTGTGAGGTAGGTTAGTCTGAGAGTTCGTAAGTGGCCCAAGGTCACCCAACGAGCTTCCATGTCAGCGTGGGGATTCAAACCTGGATCTCCCAGAATCTAGTCGGACACTCTAACCACCATACCAATCCGGTTCCAACTAATACACCACACTGACTTTCACAAGTTACTTGTTACTATTATCATTGGGGTTGAATTATCTTTGATTCACATGTGAGAGAAGACTTCACCTGCGACTGAGAGCTTTGGCAGGTACCTTTAGGGGAGTTGTTATGGTAAGGCATACGCTGTTGTGCTAACGTGGGACTATGTAAGGAGCTAAAATAAAATGACAGCATGAACTGAAGGGGACGCTGGCCTTACCAGTTACCTTTTTCTTGTGGAGTCTTGAGTTGTTTGCCACTGGGGCCTTTCGGTTGACTACCTAGATGCCTCATGCCTGTTCATTCTCCTTGGTGGGCCTTAGAAACTTCATCCCCCTTGATTCTAGTCCTTTTCATTTTCCCACTAAGCCTGTAGTTTGGCTTGCTGATCTGGTTACTGGCTGTGAAGCAAGGCAGTGGCCTTCATTTTTCAAGATGGTGCTTTAGCAGCTGTGTGTGAAAAAGAAGGCTATTAACTATTGGTTTTCTCTAGCATACTTTCTCAGTGGGATGGATTAACCTCTGTTGTTGTTGTTGTTGTTAGCCATTCAGTCATGTTTGACTCTTGGCGATTCTATGGGCCAGCTGTTTCCACATTTCCCGATCTTGTGCTGTTTCTTTGAGTTGTTCCATGCTCAGGCTGGTGTCTAGCATTAACCTCTACACCAAGCCAAATGCATTATCTAGGTTTCTAAGTATTGCATTGCTATTATAAAAAAATATATTTTGCCATCAAGTCACAGCTGCCTTGTGGCGACCCCATATGGTTTTCAATGCCAGAGACATTCAGAGGGGGTTTGCCATTGCCTGCCTCTGCAAAGCAACCCTGGTCTTCCCTGGTGGTCTCCCCTCCAAGCACTAACCAGGGCCAGTCAGCCCTGTTTAGCTTCTTGTCCTGGGTCAGAGCATACTCAGCTGAGACCGAGGGGACGAGACAGAATCAGTAACCAGAAGTGCAAAGTTGAGAGTTCAGTCCAAGAGTCATAAACAGGGGAAGCCAGCTGAGGGTCCAAGAAGCAGAGTCTGAGCAGGTCCAAGAGGCGTAGTCAAGCAGGTCCAAGGTCGAAGCCAAAGGTTCAGGAGTAGCAGCCAGAAATAGGTACGGGTGGTGTGGTCGCACGTCTCCAGAAAGGTGATGAGTTGCTCCCATGCCTCCCCCATCTGAAGCTCACCCCATTGGCGGCTCACAGTTGGGTCTCATTGCTTGCAAGAGAGCCATCCATTTGGCTTATTAACCCCAGGTGTTCCTTTTGACTTGGCAGTCACCGGGCAGCGAGGCACGTGCCCCGCATCCCCTCGAGGAGCTCCAAGCGCGCCCACCTCCTCCTGCATTCCTCTGGCTCCGGGAAGAGGGGAGGCGAGGCAGCCCGTGAAGTCTCCCCAAGATTTTGGGTTGTTGAGGTGCCGCCTCTCGGGGTTGCCTCTTCTGTGTTCCCAGTGCTCATGGGACTGGGGTACATACTGTCCTCAGCAACTGGGGCACTAGGACCTGCCTCCGCCGTCTCAGGGTCATTGACAGCTATCACGGGGATGTTATCAACATCAGCTGAGTGGTCCTCAGCTAAAGCAGGCAGGCCCATGACACCTCTGTGATCTGATGAGATCAGGTTAGCCTGGGCTATCCGGGTTGGGGCACAGTTATCAGTGTGTCCGTATGGACCTTCAAACTGCAACCAATTAACGGCAACCCCAGCAAGGGGCTTTCAATTTGGCAAATGAGAAGCAGAGTCAATTTGCCATGGCCTTCCTCTGCAGAGCCTTCCTTGGCAATCTCCCATCCTTCGCTTCCGAGATCTGACGAGATCATTCCGCCTTCACTTCCACGATTATCAATAGGGAAACAAAACTGATATTCAAGGGAGGAAAGATTACACAAATCAAGTCTACATAACAACATGTTCTTTCTAGCTAATGTGAGGGGAGGGGGAGGCCACATACTTGTTTCCCCATACTGTTGAAGTTCTCAGCTAGTTGAATCTGTGAACTGGCCCCTTAAACAGCCTATTTACAGAGATGAGATTAAAAGAAATTCTACTGATTCGCCTCTCTGTTTAAAACAGAAAGATGTTGGGGGAAGACATGAATGAATAACTAGAGTGGGGGGGGGTTGTTTTTATTGTAACAACTGTCCGACTGTTACACCAACCCTCTAATGCTGATTTTGACGTCTCTTTTCAAGGGCCATCTATTAGTGATATTCTATGCCCACTCTCCTGATTTTAGAAGGGGGCAGATATTTGCAAGAGACTGCCAGATGGTCCTTCTCCTTCTTTTCTCCGGATGCCTAAAGGCTGCTCGGAGGCTGAAATCAGTAAACCGTTTTTTTCTTAAATGCAGTAATCCAGTCTTTTGCATTTACAGATACTTGTGCGAGATATCGGCATTAGCGATAGGGCTTCAAGGGCTTGGCAGATGGGCTTGGCAACAGCCTTCTGAACAGCCACTTGTTGCCGTTCAGCGTGATTGGGATTATTCTTTTAAACGAAGGTTCGGCTACATATTTTTGCATTCTGAATTAGCCTTGAGAAGCCGAGTCCGTGGCTCGTAACTCCTGATATCTCCCATGTGCAGTGTTACGGCAGGCGATTTCCTGCACAAAGACTTCAGCTCTGGAATTCAGCTGTTGTGTGTATATTAGGGAACATATTGCTTATGCTCTGTTGAGCCAACTTGCTTGCTAAATTAATACGCGCTTAAAAAAAATCCCTCTAAATATATTCTCCTGCTCGCAGCCTCTGCTGAAGTGCATAAATGTTTAGAAGTCTCCCTAAATTAGTCAGTTCATACTATACATACTGTGAATGTGGGGGTTTCCATTCTCATCTGAGCAAACTGTTCTGTTTTTCTGTGTTGTATTTAAATTGCAGGTGACTATCTTTGGCTGACATTATGTAACTAACTCTTTCTCCTATGCCCCCCCCAACGTAGGCACGAAGGGGCTGAATCTTCTGAAGAAGAGGTTATTGTGGTATTAAACAGTTTCAGAAGCAAAATCATCAAAGTCCAAGTACGTATGCTAATAAATCCTTAAGGGGGGATTATTGGGCTTCTTGTTTTCAGTGAAGTTAAAGCTCAGCATGGGAAGGATACTTGTCGAGTGACTTAACCGTGCTTGACCACGCCACTTAACTTTTAATGGGCAGGTACAGAAGAAAGCGGATAAAGTTAATGAGGATCTCTTAAGTGATGGGGTGACAGAAGAAGACGGTTCCTTTGCAAGGTAAAACAGGCCACCTTCTCTTGGGTTGTCCTACGATCTTCATTCCCTTTTACAGAAGAAGAGTCGAAATAATGGTTTGGGTGCACCGTAATACTTCCACGGATACAAAGACTTTGGGCCACAAGATGTGATCTCCCCCCCCCCCCCGTCTGTGGCAGGTTCAATCCCCATGCCCACATTTAGGATTCCCAGGGCTAGGTTGGGAAGGGAAATACTTGGAGATTTTGGAGGTGGAGCCTGGGGAGGGTGGGGTTTGGGAAGAGGAGGGACCTCAGCAGGTTATAATGCTGTTGTCTAGAGATGAGTTGTAGTTCTGGGAGCCCTCCAGCCACTACCTGGAGGTTGGCAACCATACCCACAATCTTGTTCCTAATTGTAGTAGGAGGGGGATTTGGGGCTGCTGCAGGATAGGAGTGGCAGGGAAATTGCACTCCTAGGGCATGTCCTGCATCTATGGAAATGCTAGGGTGGATCCAAACCAATACGAGCATTCGCCTAAACATTTGGCTGAGAGGCAGGGCTGGTGGCAGCCTCAGTCGTGCACAGGTGGTGGGAGATTTGGAGGGAATTAAAACCCTTCTATTTTTGGTAAGTTTCTTTTAATTTTCTGGAAACCTGGTGGTTTCCCCAGGTTTGTAGAAAAATCTCCTTTCTCCCCATCTGGTCCTAGTTCATGGTCTTGGGGATCTGTAGATGGGAGTAAAGTTGGCTATTAGAATAGATGATCTCCAGATGACGGAGATCAGTTCCACTTGAGAAAATGACTTCTTTGGGGGGGTGGAACCTATGACATCACTGCTGAAGCCCCTCCCCAAACTCCACCCTCCCCAGGCTTCATCCCCAGAAATTTCCCAAGATGAGGTCGGCAGCCCTATATGGATCCCGTAGATCCGTTCTGCTGATAGTGGCACCTTCTTGTGCCAGAGGAGAGCAACACCATTAGTGGAACGGATACACGTGTGGTTAGATCCAGCACAGAATTTGCACTTGTGTTAGACCTCTTGCGCAAACAGAAACACAAGAACATGGTAGCCATTTGCGTTAAATCAAACGTATTGTATACCTGCTTGCATTCCCTCTAGCATAATACCTTGTGCAACCAATTTCCAGGCACTGATGTATAGGGAGGAAAATGCTACGTGTTCCCCGAGTTCTTGCAGAACTGCGCTATGTCCGTCTATGGGTCTCCTTGCTCATCGCTGGATCCAAGCCTTGGGATCCGACCTGATTCTTATCAAATCTGGGTTATTTTTTTAAAGAGCAGTGTGTGTTACCTTCGTATTTTGATGAAACAAGTGTGTGTATTGATTTATGTGTGTGCCATGCTCAAATCATAAATGAAAACTGAATAACGGTCTTCTTAAAGTTCTGTAGGGCAAGCTCAACTGGAAGGAAAAGAGAAGAAAATTGATATTTTAAACATTTTTTCGGTTGCTTCTGGCCATTTGTATGAACGCTTTTTAAGGTAGCTGAAAACTTCTGTTGTATTTTGGGGTGGAATTTGTAGCTCCTCTGCATTCCGAACTTGGTAGAGGGATGCAGAATGGGACTTGTAGCTTATGAATGCTGGGGTCCAGCTTGCTTGAGCTGTACATGCAAGAGGTATGCTTGTTAGACAGACTTATTACTGGCTTGTTTTATCCCTGGTTGTATAGATCTGAAATACATTTTTGTGGCAAATATTATGGACTCATCAGTTGCATTTTCCCTCCTCCCACCCCCCCAGAATTATGATGCTTTCAGTTCTCCGTCACACCAAGACACCAGTTAAATTTTGGTTTCTGGAAAACTATCTGTCACCAACATTTAAAGTAAGCACAGTTCATTCATTCTGTCTCTGTCTCTCTCTAAGTCCTTTGTGAAACTTATTAATAAGTTATCAGTGCTTGGCTTTTTTAGCTGACAAGTGTTGATGCCAATTCATGTTTCACGTCTGATACTGTGAATTAAGTGTTATGGAAGGTGACCTCATTGCCTTTTTCATAATTAAGTGTCAGCTTTGTGTATATATTTTTACAGAGCTATCCACAGCCATTTTCTGTGTGGGTAGTGCTATCAGGACATCTCATTAGTAGCTTGTTAGATTTCTTCTGAGGTAGAAGTAAGTTTTTGTAAGCTTTGTTTTGCAACTGATTCTGTAACCTAACTAGGGTTGCCAAGTCGAAATTTCTTCGTAGCGGGGGACTCCCGCCCCGCGGCTGGAGCATGCACCGCACGCACGTCACCCGGAATTGACGTGACGACGCTGAGCACGTGGGGGGCGGGGTCACGACCATCCGAGGGAAAACCATAGAGTTTTCCCTTGGATGACCGTGGCCCCGCCCCCAGCGTGCCCGGCGTGGTCACGTCACCTTCGGGTGACGTGCACGTCGGGGTGGGGTTCCCCCGGGGCCCGATCCGCCAGCGGTGGGGAACAGGCCTCGGGCGGGGGTTTCCCTGCCCCCCGGGGGGACTTGGGAAGCCTAAACCTAAAAGGTTTAGCAGTGCAGTTACTTAAGACTGTACATCACTTGATTCCGAACAGTAGAGTAGAAAGGAGGAGGAAGCAAGCAGTTACACCAGGACCATGCTGTAACTATGGTTGAGAGACTGGGAGGGGGCCAGGGGACCACTGTTACCCAAATCACTATACATGTGCAGGTCCTGTCACTAGCAAAAGTGCCCGCTTGCTAGTGTGGAGAAAACATGTGAATTTTGGGGTAAAAATCTAACCAAGACCTTTAACCCTATGTATTCTGAGGTCAAGATTCAGACCAACGCTCAAAAAAAAATGAGGGGGAATAAGCTTTTAAAAATAAGGTTTTTATTTAGTTAACAGAAAAGAAAATAGGTTCAAAAGTTTGAGCAGTTTACAAGGTAAAAATGGTGATTTACCGAACAGAAAAAGAAAACAGTAAATCCTTCCCCTAGCGAGCTGCCAATACCTGCCTATGTGGGGGGACACTGAAATGGGGAGAACCAAAAACATGCAACCCGGGTCTTTGACAAGAAGCGGAAGGGTTCCTGGGCTGTGACAAAGCAGTTCTGGGAGAGTGAGAAAGAGCCCAGCAAAGCTGGCCTGTATAGTGGGGAGGCAGAGAAGCCAGCCGTGAAGCTGGGGTGACTGTAGTGGGGTCGAGGAGTAACTTTTTATACACTTCTGCCAAGGATGAGGAGGGGAAGGGGTGTTGGCAGTGGGATGCGAGAGTAATATAAATTCAATATTTCCAGAGATAGGCGGTCTGACAAGAAGTTCTTTCAGGCCTGGGCAGTCAGAAAAGAAATTCTTCATCTGCATTGCGGAGGGGAGTTTTCTCCCCTTGCATGAAAAGTATCAAAGAAGTTCCCTTGGGGAGATTTGGAAGTAGATATGTGAATATTGATGACTGGGTAGTTGGCATGATTTAGGAAACGTTTTTTTGGACCAGTCTTTAAGGGGGAAATTGCTGGAATCGGCCTATTGCTGATTATCTTGGCGATCTGGGTTGTCCGTTAAGACCAGATTATCAGGGAGGAGGCTCCTGGGGTCCTCGGGAAATGGCCCTCCGGTTGACTCCCTTTTAGAATGGGCTTTGCATCACTGATGGAGCAGCTGCTTTGCTTTCCTTTATGCCCTTAGTGTGACACACTGCGATTTGATATCGCTTCATACAGACACCATCTTTAATTTCTAGGCCCATGCTGAGATGTACATGTGCACAAGTGGGGTTCAAAATACAAGTCCCTGTGAGGATTGGGGGGGGGGTCATCACCACAGCCTCCCCCCCCCAGCAAATTCCCAATTGAGCTGCATTCGTTCAGCACCACGAATTTTTTTAGCAGCTGCTCTTCATCTGCAGATTGAAGTCTTCTCTCTTGTTACAGACCTGGAGTAAAAACCCTTATTATTTGGAGAAGGTATAGTTTGTCACACAGTATGCCTGGAAGCATAACCTGAAGAAATACAACAGACATGCTTGAGTAGCCAGTTAGCCAGAAAAGGCCTTGGCTTTAAGGATACAGGTTTTGAGAAGACAAATAAAACTGTTGGCACTGTGTAGAAAGGAGCCGTGGTTTCACACTTTCTAAAGTAAGAGCTTTCCCCAAATGATTTGGCAATCGGTGACCTAATAGGGAACAATTAAGTGAAGATCTGTTTACAAAATGCCATGGAGATGGAGTGTGTTTCAGTTGCAAAAGTGAACCTATAATGGTGCTTTGCTGGTACTCTAACAGCAGATAAAACTGTTAACCACATTAGAAAAATAGATGCCATTAAAATAGGAGCCAAGGCTGTATCAGATTCCCTTAGGGGAAAATATTTTGGACTGAAGAACCAAGGTCACTTTCCAAATATACTTTGCACATTTTTCTCAGTGCTGCTTAGAGTAATTAAGGGAATGCTAATATCCGATATGATAGCCGAAAAACAACATGGATGATGACAAGGTAGTGCACTCGCTTAAATCAACATGATCCTCTTTTTTTCATGAGTTCCCAGAAACTGCAGTTCTTGCCTCCTTGTAATCTGCCACGGTCTCATTGTGGCTACTTCCACACAGAGGTTTTGATCTGGTTTGACATCCAAATTAAAGCTGGTTTTGGGGGAGCAGCCACACGGTGTTGTTCCTTAACTGTCCCCTTTCTGTGGTTTCTGCCTGCTTTTCTTCAGTCTTTACCCAAACTTGGTTTGATAAAGTCTTTTGGGAAAGATCACATCCAAGGTATGTTGGCATGCCATGTAGATGGGAAGACGTGCATTTTTATGTGTTTCCCCATTCACATAGGTGCCGTTTTCCATGCCACAGCTGCAATTTCACCATACCACCAGAGGGCTTTTATAAACTCAGCAATTGATCTAGCTACTAATTCCGCTGAATTTCCAGGTTTATTTTTTAAAATGCAGGCAGGCCTTTATTTTTTTTGCAGAACGATTCCTTCCTCGGCATATCTCCGCAACAAAAAGGGCTAGAGAGAGTGACATGTTTTAAAATGGAAGCTGGGGATTCAGAGGAACTGGTAGATAGATCATTATAATGTCATAACACTACAGGAAATATGTCAATGGCTGATTTAAAGAAAAAGCCCTCTGGTGGCCATAGAAGGGTGGCACCAAGGGAAGTGCAGGGGAAACTGCTATATAGATGTTCCGTTGCCATTTGCAGCAGCAAAGAAAACCATGCAAAGAATCATCACCCTGTGGAAGCCACCGGTATTTCAATCAGAATTTATTCAAGAAAGCAGCTATTTGTGAGTTTACTTGCAAAGTAATGACTCAAGATTTATATGGTAAAAAGTCGCCAGTACTGAAAAAAAAATTAAGTCAATAAAAGAATACGCAATAAATTGAGAATTTCACTAAATTTTTATGTGTCCCCCAAGATTGCAGTCAATTCCAGATATACAACACTCCGCTTTAGTAGGACCAGATATATTTTTTTAATTACGTAGATATGAACTTTGGGAGCCTACTTACTTTTGTCACTACAACATTGGAAACATCTTTGCTGTATTATTTGATGTTGGAAACTATGGGTTACGCACACCAAGATTCCCTTTGTACCATACTAGAAGAGGAGATCGTTACCACCAAAGAAAGATTGTCATTAGGTTCAAAGATGGTGTCCTCCCATGCTCCATGCACCCATGTTCCCGAAGCTTTTTACTTTCTCGTGTGTAATGGTGGTAGCCAGCTTTGACTTTCTTACAGGGCTCCTTGCCAGGAACTTTACTGGACTAATATTTTGACCATCTATGATGGAATTGGATAACTCTGTTTTAAGAATAACGTCACCTTCAAGGATACCAGTGTAGGCCAACCTTGATTTAGATGTCAAAACAGGGATGTTTTGATCAGTGGAGTTTCTCATGCAACCTTGACTGATAATTTGTGTTGGCAGCAAGTGCGCTCATAGCATTTCCCCCCCCCCCTCTGATTTTATAGGAGGTTATCCCTTACATGGCTGAAGAATATGGATTCCAGTATGAGCTTGTACAGTACAAATGGCCCCGTTGGCTTCATCAACAGACAGAAAAGCAAAGGATCATCTGGGGTTACAAAATTCTCTTCCTGGATGTCCTTTTCCCATTGGCTGTGGACAAAATAATATTTGTTGACGCTGATCAGGTACAAAGTCCAAGTTTTCAAAAGTTCACATAGAGAGTTATTTGCACTGGTCTGATGTGTTCCCTCACATGGCTGCATATCTGCCTCCTGACCAGATTAGAAGACTAAAAAGTAAAACGTTCCCTGGACTGGACTGTTTCGGTCTGTAAGTGGGCACATTTTGAATACTTCTCCATTGAAATAGCATTCTCTTAACATGTAGAATTAGATGATGGGGGGGAGGCATCTCATTGAATGTTCTCCCTCATGTGCTAATTTGGTGTAGTGGTTAAGTGCGTGAACTCTAATCTGGGAGAACCGGGTTTGATTCCCCACTCCTCCACTTGCACCTGGCTGGATGACCTTGAGCAAGCCATAGCTCTGTCAGAGCTGTTCTCTCAAGGACAGTTCTTTCAGAGCTCTCTCAGCCCCACCTACCTCACAGGGTGTCTGTTGTGGGGAGGGGAAGAGAAAGGCGTTTGTAAGCCGCTCTGAGACTCCCTTGGGTAGTGAAGGGCGGGGTATAAATTCAGTCTCCTCCTCCTCTTCTTCTTCCTCTTCTTTGCAGGGAGGGGCTGTGTGGGAGAGCCTTTGTATAGAAGCTGCGTGAGTGTTTGGTTGGAGAAACCGGCAAGAAGCCCAGTCATTTCTTGCCAGCCTTCTAAACCTGATGTTCAGCTGGGAGACTTGCACACTCCATTACGCAATAGCATAATGGTTCCTTTAATAGACCTAGCCCCAGAGGTTTATTTTCTCACTTGCCACTTAGGCCAATAACTTCCACAAAGCTTAACATCCCAATTTGCCACCCAGGATAATAACTTTCACACAGATTTCTCTCACACTCTACAGCACCTCACTCAAGTTCCGTCTCTCTCTCTCTCTCTCTCTCTCTCTCTCACACACACACACACACACACACACACACACACACACACACTGCTCAATTCAGACTGCTGAACTGCAACTGATAACGAAGCTCAAGACAATGCATCCACTTGGATTGAATCGAGACCTAGGTTGCTTGTCTCATTACCAAGGCTGGTTTCTCCACGCCTGCTAGTTCTCTGCATATCACACCCAATCCAATCAACCTTCTGTTGTTATTTGCCTGCTAATGTCATTTGGCATCTTAAATCGCTTTCCAATATATAGGACAGATGGACTCCCACTCTAGCAGTATCTGAAGAAGTGAGCAGTGACTCACAAAAGCTCATACCCTACCACAAATTTTGTTAATCTTTAAACTGCTCAAATCAGCCAATCCTAAATGAAATCAACCCTGACCGTTCCCTGGAAGGCCAGATACTGAAGCTGAAGCTCAAGTACTTTGGCCACCGAATGAGAAGGGAGCATTTACTGGAGAAGACCCCGATGCTGGGAATGATTGAAGGTCAAAGAAGAAGGGGATGGCAAAGGATGAGATGGTTGGACAGTGTTATCGATGCAGCGAACGTGAAATTGAGCAAACTCCGGAGGACAGGAGGGCCTGGCGTGATGTGGTCCATGGGGTCGCGAAGAGTCCGACTCGACTGTGTGACCGGACAACAAAGGAAAAAGGTGCCTCTGGACACTTCTACTGCCACAGACAGACTAGATCTTGATCTGACTGCTCAGCATTAACTGTCAGAAGAGCCTCTCTCTGAACAAAATAGTCAACTTCACACCTTAGGGCACAGTAGGGAGTGGTCTGCTTAATGTCACTGGTTTTTGCTGAGGGGGAGGGAATTAATCCTCTTGGCACATGTCAGCTTTGAGCACCCAGTAAACAATGGCATTCCAGCCCTCGCTAATCACTTTCTCTAGGAATTTTTAATTTTTTTTAAAGGAGTCAAATTATTGCTCTTGTGACATGACCAACAGACGTCTTTAATAATGTTTCTAGAACAGACAGGATTTGTTGTTGTGTTTGGCCAACTGCTGACTTATGGCATAGGGTTTTCAAGGCAAGAAACGTTCAGCGGTGGTTTGCCAGCGCCTGTCTCTGTGTCACCACCCTGGCATTCCTTGGTGGTCTCCCATCCAAATACTAGCCAGGGCCGACCCTGCTTAGCTCCCGAGATCTGATGAGACTGGGTTGGCCTGGGTCAAGAGAGGATTTGTTCCTTGTCTAAATGAAAACAGCCATCCAAATGTACTATATTTACACGAGTCCTGATCAATGCTCCCTCTCAGCTGTGGAGTCCCATGAGCAAAAAATTCTCCTTTGTGAGCTACCGGCCATTAAAGTTGAGAGCGAGCGATTTGGCTGCTGCACAAATCAGTTTGCTCTAGAGCCGTACTTCCTGAGCTAAGATAAAAACGTGTGAGCCGGAGGCTAAAAAACAGTGAGCTCGCTCACACTGACTCAGCTTAGAGGGAACACTGGTCCTGATACTCTGGGATTTCGGGATTTCATTAGGAATATATGCCAGACAACACTGAGCTGTTACGTGAAATGTCTCCTTTCTCTTTCGGCTGAATGGAACCTTCGATAGCCGCGTAAGTATCTTCTAGCCTATGACACCATACAGCCGAGATGGCCTTCTGCCATAAAAAATCTCAGACTTTCTCTCCCAACCACCCTGTTCCTTTCTCCTGACGTTTAGATTGTAAGAAGTGACTTGAAAGAACTCAGAGATCTGAACCTGAAAGGAGCACCGTATGGTTATACTCCATTCTGTGACAGTCGTAAAGAAATGGATGGCTACCGTTTTTGGAAGTCGGGCTATTGGGCTTCACACCTTGGAAGAAGGAAATACCACATCAGGTAGGAAAAAAGCCGAGTAATCTGAAAAGTACCGAGACTGACGCAGTGATTTCAGCTCATACTTTTATTTTAAGTGAAGAACATGACAACTCTGCCGCCTCACAAGGCCGGTTTATATTCCCAGTAAGCCCCACACCTAAAACACGCCCCACACCAGTGACAGGTTATTTACATTGTCAGACGTTCCATAGGTCTTCACCAGGATCCTAGCCCTCCGATAGGTACCAGCTATCTGAAGAAGCGTAACGTGAATGCGGCAGTGAAGCCAGCCGTGTATAGCTGTACTCACATATGACGTGGAACTAATGCACTCCTGAAGTTTTTTATACAAAGGAATTGTGGACTCTAATTGTATTCTCCCTTTGTATCAAGTACTTTTTGTTCCTAGCTCTGTAAAAATATATATATAAGGGTTCTTTAACAAAGATTTCAAAATGTTTGAATTGTTTCATACAATATAATTTTTCTGCTTATGTTCGTAATTCATTCACGGAGTGTCTTTATATTTATACAATCTCCTCCCGTGAGCTCTCGTTTTTGATATACAAACTCCGATAGGTGCAGGCTAGGATCCGCTCGGGCCATTGTTATCGGGAGCAAAGCTTGACTGCTTCGCATGACCGCGTGGAGGCCCAGCCTCGCACACAGTTGAACTTCGATACATAACGTAATCTTTTCCCCCTTCTCTCATGTATGGAAGTTTATTACTATCTGTTTTTTCTGCCAGTGTTCTTTGCTGAGAATCTCATTAAAGGGGAAATTCTGAAAGGCATGTAAATAAAAACATTAGAACCTCAGTGGCTGCTGTATTAGCTTGCCATATGCACTTTATCTAACAATTACAGGAGTGACATTTGGGTCTTACATTTGCCGTTTTCCTAAACGTGTCTAAATATGCTGTTCCAAAAGTCAGTCTCAGTCTCTCTCTCTCCCTCTCTCCCTCTTTGTTTTTTGCTTTTTTGGTAGTGCTCTATATGTTGTGGATCTGAAGAGGTTCAGAAAGATAGCTGCAGGAGACAGACTTAGAGGACAATACCAGGCGCTCAGCCAGGATCCGAATAGTCTGTCCAACCTGGATCAGGTATGCTGCAACAAATAATGAATGTCATACACAGAATCATAGAGTTGGAAGGGACCTCCAGGGTCATCTAGTCCAACGCCCTGCACAATGCAGGAAATTCACAACTATTTCTCCACCACCACCCTCAGTGACCCCTGCTCCATGCCCAGGAGATGGAAAAAAACCTCCAGGATCCCTGGCCAAACTGGCCTGGAGAAAATTGCTTCCTGACCCCAAAGTGGCGATCAACATTTCCCTGGGCATGTAAGAAAGGGCCATGAAGAACTAAGCACTGAGGCAACCTCTCCTGCCCTCCAGCTCTCATGATCTGCCCAAGTTCACAGACTCAGCATTGCTGTCAGATGGCCATCTAGCCATCTAGCCTTTGCTTGAAAACCACCTAAGAAGGGGAGCCCACCACCTCCAGAGGAAGCCTGTTCCACCGAGGAACCGTCCTAACTGACAGGAAGTTCTTCCTAATGTTTAGCTACTGTGCTACTGATATTCCCCTACAAATAAGGAAGCAGACCTCTTTCTAATTTCAAGCCATTGGTTCTGGTCCAACCTTCTGGGGCCACAGAAAACAACTCCGTACCATCCTCTATATGACAGCCCTTCAAGTACTTGAAGATGGTTATCATATCACCTCTCAGTTGTATATATGCAGTGGTGGGGTGTTTAAATACTTGACGCCTTAGCATCTCTTCGTGGCTCTCCGAAAGGGTAAAGACAGGATGGAGATATTCCAAGAAAACGGAAATCATAGAGGAGTGCTGGGCCTAGGGCTGCCAAATCCCCCCGGGGGGGCGGATTTCCCCCCGCTTTGGAGGTCCGATTTCTGCCCCCGCGGAATCGGCCCCCGGGGGAAACCCCACCCCCGCGTGCACGTCACAGGAAAGTGATGTCGTGACGCCAGGCACACTGGGGGCGGGGCACAGCCATTTGAGGGGAAAACTCTATGTTTTCCCCTCAAATGGCTGTGCCCCGCCCCCAGCGTCCCCGGCATCATGACATCACTTTCCTGTGACGTGCATGCTGCCGGGAGCCAGCACAAAGTCCCCCGCCGGCAGAGGTAAGTCGATTTGGCAACCCTAGCTGGGCCCAATTTTTGCAGCTCACCCGTACCTTCTTGTGTCCTTGCCCATGGGAAGAGTGGACGGAGAAGAGGCCCGCTTCCTTATTCGTACGGCAATATCAGAAGCCCAGCAGTGGGAAGGAGGAGTTCTTTCTCTGATGTGACCTAGCCTTGTTTCAGTATCCAGTTTGCCTCTACCTTCTGGCAAGTAGAGCGTCAGAGCCACAATTCGCAGTATTAACTTGTGGCCTACTGTTATTTCTTTTTAGGATCTTCCCAACAACATGATCCATCAAGTGGCTATTAAGTCTCTCCCTCAAGAGTGGCTGTGGTGTGAAACTTGGTGTGATGACAAATCCAAGCGGAAGGCTAAAACAATTGATCTGGTAAGTCAGTGTATTACTACAACAACCACCCCCCTCCATGTGCTTATTCTAGATGTGTTTTTCAGGCCTCGAGCTTTATGCTGGATTGCTGTTGTTTGATTTATATATTCAACCTATCTAAATACCACACTCTGAAGAAAGTTCTCAAGGCAGTAGAGTGTGGTGTAGGCAGTTCTTGTGTGCCTCATCCTTGGCCCCAAGGATCTAACCCGTGCTAAGGTCAGGAATGGATGTTGGGCTCACTCGGGGTGGATGAGATACTGGAAGTTCTGTGAATGCAGCTCTCAGGTCTCCCCCCCCCCCACTTTTCCCTAAAATATAAAGTGAGAGGGGCCATGATTTGGATCAGAACAATGATGGAAACAACCGTGATGTAGTATTATGAAAATATATTTAGACTGCTGTTTTGCAGTGAGTAGTGTTTCTTCAACAAGTAATAAAGTAATAAAGATGTATGCTGCGGTGGCTCAAGTGGTTAAGACGCTGAACTGCAGGCTGTGGAAGGTCAGTAGTTCAGCGGTTCAAGACCCGGGTGCCGCAAGACGGAGTGAGCTCCTGTCTCTAGTTCCAGCTCCTGCCAACCTAGCAGTTCTAAAGCAAGAAATTGCAAGTAGATAAATAGGGACCACTTCAGTGGGAAGGTAACAGCGTTCCGTGCGCCTTGGTGTTTAGTCATGCCGGCCACATGACCACGGAAACGTCTTCAGACAGCGCTGGCTCTTCGGCTTTGAAACGGAGATGAGCACCGCAACCCTAGAGTCGGATTCGACTGGCTTTCGAGCAAGGGAACCTTTACCTTTTTATACACACTACGGAATTTGCATATACTCCCGTTTCACATAACAGCTTTTTCACGGTGTGCTGCGTAAATAACTTTAATTTACACGTCAACAATTCTAATCGGTGAATGAACACTCAAACATTCTTCCCACTGGGCTGCAGCAAGAGGAAAGTGGGGGGGGGGATTTAAGCCTCCTCCTCAATATACCTCATCTGAAACCAGGCCTGGGGAACTTTTCCAAGGCAATTTCAGATCATGAAAATAGTGGGCCGCCGGCAGGGGCAGGAGGGAAGGAGAGGAGAGACTTAATCCCCTTGTGCCATGGCCCCGATCTAAACCAGGATCTTGCATGCCTGATTTTTTTACAATGGGGAAAAACATCTCATCAAGCCCTGACTTGCTCCGTAGGAATGAGCAACTGAACTAGGGACATATTGTTATGTGCTTAAATGTAGATGTCCCGTTTTTTCCAATGAGAACCTTTGGGGGGAAGGGATCTTTTTTATTATTTGAGATATTCTCTTTTTAAAACGAACTTTGTATTTTTGTCACTTGGCCATCAGTTTCTAGTCCAGAAAGGGGACTGTGGCAGGAATCAAGAAGTCCAAGCTCTGTTCCAGTCACTCAGGAGTGAGTGAACAGGTCCAAAGAAATCATTTTTCACATAAAGATTGCCTTTAGCTCAGATAGATGTCGATTGCTAGGCTTTTTCTGATACTTCCTTCTTTAAAAGGGGAAGGCCTGTAGCTCAGAACCAGAATATCTGCTTGGCATGCAGGAGGTCCCAGGTACAGTCCCCGGCATCTCCAGTTAAAAAGGATCATGCAGTGGGTGATGTGAAAGACCTCTGCCTGGGACCCTGGAGAGCAGCTGCCAGTCTGAGTAGACAATACTGACCTTGACAGACCAGTGGTCTGACTTGGTATAAGGCAAAATCCATGTGTTCTGGAACAGGAAGCTGGCCTTTCACAGTGTCATTGGTCCACCTTGCTAAGGTATAGATAGGGGCTCTGGGGCAAGGGATGCTCTGTCTTCTTGGTGCTGGGGGGGGGCAACAGTGGGAGGGCTTCTAATGTCCTAGCCCCACCGGTGGACCTCCTGATGGCACCTGGTATTTTTAGCCACTGTGTGACAGAGTGTTGGACTGGATGGGCCTTTGACCTGATTGGCGTCTCTTATGGTCTTATTATTGTGTACTCTGACTGGTGGCTCCTCTCTGTAGCCTCAGGCAGAGTCTTTCTCAGCACCTGTTACCTTCAACTGGTGATAGAACCTGGACCCTTCTACGTGCAATCCAGGTACTCCACCACGGAACCCCTACACAAATACACAAAAATATCTTGCCTCATGCAGGATACAGCTGTGGGTTTCTTTTTAGGAAGGGCAAAACGCGGCCAGTCACAGTTTACTACATCTTTGCTTTAATGGACTAGCTTGTGTCGCTGAAGATTCCTGCCAGACTTCATATTCTTGCCGGTTTCTGTGAGTTGTAGCAGCGACAGAAGAAACTAGTTGGGGATGAGCCAGTTGAAAATGATGAATGGTGGGATCAAAGACTCCTTGGGGGGGGCTGGTGACAGATGGTCCTGTTTATAGAAAGAATGCTTTCCAGATGTTGAGGCTGCCTAATAGAGCAGTGATTGAAAAGCATGGCATGCTGTTCTCTAAAATATTAATAAGTGGGGGTTTTTTTGCCAGAATCATTTGCATAGTAGTTTGCTGATGTGTCAGCACTGTTATGAGCTCTAATTTTGTTATGGAGCCAAAATGGGGCGTGTCTCCAGACTTACGGGGGTCATTCCGCCACTGACCTCTACGGACTTGCTGAATAACCTTGGGGAAGGGTCAGCACCCTTCTACATTCATCAAAATGGGATCTGCCTGTATCCTTCCAGTCTGCTCATCGGCACTGAATGTTTGCTTCCCGCTTAAGTGCTTTGAACAAGTTACATTGGGGAAAGGCTCCTTGGTAGGATTTCCAGCTCTGGCTGGGGTATAAATACCTGGGGGGTGGAGCCTGGATCATCAGGGTATAATGCCATAGAGTTCACCTTCCAAAGCAGCCATTTTTTTCCAGGGGAACTGATTCCCTGTTGCCGGGGAAATCAATTGAAATAACAGGAGATCTCCAGGTCCCACCTGGAGGTTGGCAACCATACTCCTTGGACTGAAGGATGCCACATGACTTTGCTGCACTGAGCATCAGGATACAGAACAACAACAGTGACTTACTTCAGGGCTGTCTACTTTCTCTTTACCGAATGCCGTTTCTGAATATATCGTTTGAGTCTCAGCAAGTCCATCTCCTGGATTTTAATTTAGCCTATAGATCATATTCTTTAATTGGTATGTTAAAAGTTACACTTGATGATCTCTGTACTTAAGAAGACTTCTAACTGTTGCCTTATCTGAACGTTCTTGCTTGCTTGTTTTTTTTAAACCAACAACTTCAGTGTAACAACCCAAAAACTAAAGAACCCAAACTCGAAGCTGCTCTCCGGATAGTTCCTGAATGGGCCAAGTATGATTCTGAAATCCAGCAGCTGATCAGTCGAAACAGGGGAAGAAAGGAAAACATGGCCCAGCCCTCCCCAAAAGGTGAGGCCCTGAAAGATTTGTAAAGACTTGTGGAAAGGAGGTGTGAGGGAGATACCGAATGAAAGGTTTTGAGGTGTTCCCAGATCTGCACCACAGAGAACAGTGCTGGCTCCAGGATGTGGGGAGCCCTTTGGCAAATCATTCTGAGGACTTCCTTAACGTGGAAGAGATGGTGTATGCAAGCACAGCTTCTTGGACACTGTGTGTGAAGTAAGAGCAGAGGCACAGTTGGGGGATTGGGTCCTTCCTGGGTTTTGGAAACCTGGCACATGTTTACACCAAATCTGGCCCTGTCAGTCACTTCAGGCCGTCACTCATGTATCATTCTTGATGGTCAGCTAAGAACACAAGAGAAGCCATGTTGGATCAGGCCAATGGCCCATTCACTCCAACACTCTGCGTCACACAGCGGCCAAAACCCAGGTGCCATCAGGAGGTCCACCAGCGGGGCCAGAACTCCAGAAGCCCTCCCACTGTAGCCCCCCAAGCACCAGAAATACAGAGCATCACTTCCCCAGATGCTACTATGGGCTGTTTCTGTTCTCCATTTCAAAAAAAAAAAGTACAGCTCAGTCATAGACATGTTTACTTGAAAGGAATACCCCACTGAGTTTAGTATGAGTTACTTCCAAGAAAGTGTGCATAATACTTGTTGTTGTTCAGTTGCACAGTCGAGTCCGACTCTTTGCGACCCCATGGACCAGATCCCGCCAGGCCTTCCTGTCTTCCGCCGTCCTCTGAGGTTGGCTCAACTTCATGTTCGTTGCATCTATGACACTGTCTAACCATCTCATCCTTTGCCGTCCCCGTCTTCTTTGACCTTCAATCTTTCCCAGCATCAGGGTCTTCTCCAGTGAGTGCTCCCTTCTCATTGGGTGGCCAAAGTATTTGAGCTTCAGCTTCAATATCTGGCCTTCCAGGGAACAGTCAGGGTTGATTTCTTTGAGGATTGACTGATTTGATCCCCTTGTAGTCCAAGGGACTCTCAAGAGTCTCCTCCAGCACCATAGTTCATAATACTACGGCCTTAGTAAAAGGAGGAGAGGAGAACGGCGTAAGCCCTTTTGGTTCTACATTCAGGGGAAAGGTGGGATATAAATTAAGTAAATAAATCTCCAGGCCACTTTAATATCCATATAGAACAATATTTTTGCTTAAATGTATCTATTCATTGCTGTCAACTCACAGCTGACTTCTGGCAACCCCATTGGGTTCCCAAGGCCAGGGATGTTCAGAGGGTGGTTTGCCCTTGCCTTCCGCTGCACAGCAACCCCCGGACTTCCTTGATGACTTCCCGTCCGATTACTAACCAGGGCTGACCTACTTAACAAGACTGGGCTATGCAGGTCAGACATAAAATTGACTAGCATTTGGGAAATCCCCAGCGCTTTTTTTTTGCCTAGACATGACATTTACTAGCAATGGATAATACTGGACAAAGGAAGTTAGTCCTGCTTGAAGCCTCTTACATGGGTGGGGCTTAGGTCAAAAACCACTAACTTGTCTCACTGATTTCAGTGAAATTTGTGTGCAGTTTGCTATCTGGCTTTCTCTGGGTTGGACTTCTCCCTCGGTACCTTTGCACCCTTGCAACAAGCTGGCACTATAGTTTGTTTACGAAAGTCAGAAATATTTGTTTTGTAGTTGCCTTTGAAATGTCATTATGTCCATAGATTTGTTCTTGTTCCCCTTACACCCACTGTCCTCTGCTTTCTAGCTGTTTCTGTAATGCCGCCCCTATTTTCCTTTAACAGCCAATGCAGACTTTCTTGGAAGTAAGTCATACTGAACTCAGTGGGACTTCCTTTCAAGTAAACGTGTTTATGACTGAGCTGTGCATTTCCTGGAAACAGAGGACAGAAACAGGACATAACTGCCAATCAAGAATGATACATGAGTGACAGCCTGAAGTGACTGACAGGGCCAGATTCCGTGGAAAAGTCTGCCAAGGTTCCAAAACCAAGGACGGACCCGGTCCCCCAACACTGCCTCCGCTCTCACTTTGCACAGAGCATCCAGGATTCAGAATCCCATTATGTGGATGTCTTCAGTAGTGCTGATATAGGCCAGAACAGCTGAAGTATATTTCTTCTGCTGCAGTCTTGTTCACATATCACAGACACGGCTTATCACTTGATAAGGCCAGCTTTGAGGTGATTCGCATGTGTGAATGAACCATCAAAAGTTAAAAACTCCACAGGCAGAATACCCACATCAGGTAGAAGCAACATTTTTGGCATGACTTGCAGAAAAAAAAAACTTAGCATCTACCTCTGGAACAAACCTAACAGTGTGGGAGACGAGGGCTTTACTTGGGCGGGCGCAGTGGAAGCATCTCAGGCTCCAGCCGCTCACAGGTTTACCTAGGGTTGCCAGGTCTTACCCACCTGCCGGCAGGGGGCTCCTGGCTCGGTCCTGGGGTCTTCTGGTGCGTGTGTGCTGCAGCAGTGTCATCCAGAAGTGACGTCATCGCGCTGGACACGTTGGACGCTCTCGCATTTGCCTAAAAGCTCTATGGTCTCCCTCGGAACATCACCAAATGCTACAGCATCCCTCCGGGTGACATCGTCGCACTGGGCACGTTGGGCACAGCGGGGCTCTTCGGTGGCAAGGCTCCCCCGCCGGCGAACTGGCCAGCAGCAGACTGTGGGCCCTAAAATCGGGGGGAACCCCGCCCCCATTGGCGCCTTGGCAACCCTACGTTTACCTCAGACCCAGCTGGTGGAGATATGGGCCCTGGGTCCCTGGAAAGGCATAAACTATGCCCACTGCTTTCTCCCACACCACCACCCCCTCAGGCTCACCTCATTCACTCAGGCAGAGAACTATTTCTGTGAGTGACGCAAAATGGTCTGGCGTGCCACTGTTCAGCATGTGTGCAGGGGACAGGAGGGGTCTGTTGTCAACTGCCCTGTATCATCCTGCACAATCACAAGCATAGTACTTTTCAGCAGAATCCTGTTCAGACAGTCAGCTCTGACAGACCAGGTATTGAGAGCTATCAACACGAAACGGCTGGGAGACCTCAGCTGTGCTCCTGGAATTTTCTGGTTCAAATAAGTTTGATCAAGAACACGTTTAGGTGGCAGTAGGCTATGCCTCTGACTATCTTCCATTGGCATAATATGACTTACCTCACAAAGTTATTTGAAAGGATTTTTGAGGTAATCCACATGGAACGCTTTAGGCCTCGTGAAAGACCAGTACTTAAAATGAGGTACTTTGAATATGGGAACCAGCCCTCAGAAGGACATGTAAGAGAAACTCAATTACCAGGCTGGTTGTTTAGTATCACTACCCCCATGCAACTAATTGGAAGTCTCTGGAAGCAGCAGGCATCGTAAAGGAGGTCACTATTTTATGGCTGCCTCTCCACATAGTTGTCGCTGTAGCGTAAGCCGTTTTTTAAATGAGTTTTGCCTTGTTTTGACCCTGTGAACACACTTGGAATTTTGTGAAAGGGTAGTGGGCATCACCACAAAATGGCTGCCACCGCGTGGGGCCATTTGCATAAGGCAGCTGTTTCCTGCAAAGAAAGGCGGTTTCCTGGGCTCTTCTGAACTAATGCCTATGCTGGCGGGGGGAGCCCACATCAGCTTTTTGCTTTGTGACAGGAACATGCTTTGCTTTCTGTTTCCAAGGAAAACTGTTTGTTCCCCTGTGGCCAGAGAAAGAGGAGAGAGATTTCCTGGCCGAGAGATAAGAAAGCTTGCAGCTAAACTTAGGGTATACAGATGTGACACACACAACTGGACTGAGCTCTTTGCTAGCCGGGCGGCTGGTGGCGGGGGACCTCAAAGCTCTCTGTTTATTTCCAATCCATACAAGACCCTTTGGATCTTATCCCCGAGACTTAAGAAATAAGTGGCCACCAGGAAACATATTACATCTTTGGGAATTGGTTAGCTTATATATGACTCCTGGCCATCTCTTTTTCTGAAGGCACTGCTTAATAATATTGCTACCAGCTTGGACACAGGATTAAAGCATCAAATTAAAATAAGGATTCCAGCGGCAATGAGAGGATGACATTAAGAAAATATCCAAACAATCTCAGCTGTGTTAATTAAATTTTTTTGTTTGGTTTTGCAACTCATGTGGTGTCCTTGAATGCACAGAACAAATGCATGTGGTTTTTTCCCCCCCTACTGCAGAATCTAAACATGATGAACTTTAAAAGTGCTGTCTGGAATTCGTTCGGATGGCACAACTGCCCTCCAACCTAACGTGGACTTCAGGGGAGCGGGAAGAAGCAGGGGCAGACTGCTGTTGGCCGTGGATGTAAATACTTCAGAGACGCTCTTATTTTTTAAGATTCACGAATGTGATATTAAATTAAAACATTACTTCCCTGCCTATTTTACATGCAAAGTGAAGAACAGAATGAAAAAGGAGGTCCAAGAAAAACAGTAGCTCTCCGGTTTCTAGTTTGGCCTGATGGCCTTTCCCCCTTTCTTTTGTTTCCAGGGGCCATGAAAATGCTGGTGCTATTTTCCCTAAGTACAATGTGCTTGTATTCCATGCAGAGTTCTGGTCAGCAGCCTCTTGCTATTCAAAGTGCGTGCCTCAGTATGAGGTCATGTCAAACGGACCGGCTGTAGCCAACACTGCACCTCCTCCAATAACTTGAGACAACACAATTTGAAGCCTGAATTGCTTTTTCTGCCGTCTATCCGGTAGCTTCCTCAGACAACTTTACTGTACTCTTATTGACTTAAGAATCAATTGAAAAGCAGTTTCTCAGTGGATTAAGCCCTTGGTTAGAAGTGCCTCGTGATGTCATTGTTCACCATTTCTCAGTGTCATTTATATAGTGTATTTAAAAGCAGCGATTGGGGGTCTGTCACTGTTTCTCTTATTAAAACCGCCAGTTGTTAGCTACTGTTTTAATTTGTTCCAAGTGCATAAAACCTACATGTTTTCAGGATTTTTAAAAAATATACCTTTGCTCCTGGAGATGTGGAATACTAGGCCTTAGGGCAACCTGGGTTCAAACTCCTACTTTGACATTAAATTCACTGGTGACCTTAGGGTGGCCACAGACAGACACTCACACAAAAACACATGCAACCTGGCCTAACTCACAGTGTTGTTGGGAAGACAGGACTATCTATACACCACCTTCAGCAAGATTAAAAAATGGAGAAGCTAAGGGTGCAGTCCTGTGCATGTTTTCTTGGAAGTCTGTTCAGTAAACTTACTCTTACCACTAAGCAAACACAGGACTGGGCTGTATAAAGAGACCAATAGGTTAGTAATGTTTCTCTTTGGAGAGCTTCCCTTTTTACTGTACTTCTCCTGTTAATAGTCTCAACCTTGCTGCTGTGTAACAATTTAGCTTGGAAAGGAGTTAAAATGATGGGTAAACCATTGCCTGGGTGGTTGGACATGCTGGACCATTTTTCAATGTTCAGATTTTAATTTTAAAATGGCAACTTCAGATAAAAATCCATTCCTTGTCAGTCTGTTTCTCTGCAAGAACCAGATGTCACAATCAGTGGGGAACGTGTGTGTGTGTGTGTGTTGCTGTTTTGAATGAATTCCTTTTTCACCATGCTGTAAAGTTTGTTCATGTCCTGATACCAGCACAGTGTATATTTCCTGGGCCTGGCCAATGGCAGCCAGTGCTGTAAAGTTGGGTACCCAGAGGTTGGGTGAGAGAAAATTATGAGAAATAAATTAAACTTGATACCACGTTACATAGAGTCGGGACTTCTTCGTTCGAATATTTGCTACTTCAAGGGTGGAATGGGCCTTTGTTTTTCAAGCAGCGTTGTAGTGCACTTTGTAATGGAGCTGCCACTGCTGTACCTCTAAAACCAGCCCTATTATGTGGAGTCGTCCCCCTGTGGTCCATACCACATCCCACCACTGCAGAGGGGGAAAGAGCCATGTTGGAGTCGTTTCCCCTGTCTTGGAGGCTAAAGAACACAATTCTACACTGCTTGCCACGAAATATTTATACTTTTAACTACATCACGTGCATGAATTGCTCAGCACGCTTCAACTGCTTATTATTAAGCCTCTGTGAAAGGGACATAACATTTTCCTGCAAGCCGTCTGTCAGCCCTAAGCAGACCTCATATGAGACAGGAACGGTGCAGATATAGGAACAATGGTGGTTGCCATCAGGTCTTGGCTGGGTCTAATAAACAAGCATCTAGCCTAGGCCCCCTCAGACTGTACATGGAGTAGTTGCCCCCTACTAGAGAGAGAGAGAGAGACACACACACACAAAGATCTCTTCTCACAGAAAAATAAGATGTCAGGCAAAAAGGGTAGGTTAGAAGCGGCAGAGCTGCAATCGGGCTGTAGGTCACTGAGATAAGGACACAGAATTTTACTCCCAGTATTCACTCAGCACATATTAAATTCCAGGGTGCCCCTTAAGACATCTGTGCCATGATTTTTGGGAAAATAAAAAGGTCTCAAAGCTTGTGCACATTTAAGGCATTTAATAACAAATACCAATATCGTCCTACAGCAACCCAGAAAACAACTGCTGAATTGCTCTCTAAATTGCTTTCTTAAGCTTCCAAAGAGGAGAAGTGAATGCATGTTCTGTCGGATCCCCTCTCCTCCCACCCTCGCCCAATGAAAGATAAGTGCATGGAAACACTGGCACATTGGAGACATTTCTGTAGCATATAACCAATTTTTAAAACTATGGCACTCTTGTTCATATTAATCTGGTTTCACATATCCACACACACAGAAAAAAATAAGCTTGCTGGTGTTCACAGAAGCTTGAAACTGTTTGATAAAACTAGGAAACAGCTTTAATCTAAATTGTTGCTGCCAGTACACTACCTAGCTTGTTTTCAAACTTCTTATCTTCAAAAGAACTTCTTAGCTTCATAGCACTGCCCTGTTTTGTTTTTTTTAAATCGGATCTCTACAAACATTGGGACGCTGTGCCTCTACTGCAAGGGCTTATGTTAACTGACAGAGGCTGGTCTTTACTGATGTGATAACGAAACCTGCTTTGAAGGACTCTTGGAACAATCTCATTTGCAGTTGCTAATGGTGCCCCAGGCAACAGTGACAGACGTGAAAAACCACATGCAGCTGAGTCCACACCAAAAGTGCCGTCCAGTTGTACCTGACTTGTGGTGACCTCACTGAGGGGTTTTCAAGGCAAGTGAGAAGCAGAGGTGGTTGGCCATGGCCGTCCTCTGCAGAGTCCTCCTTGGTGGTCTCCCTTCCAAGTACTGACCTTGCTTGGCTTCCGAGATCTGACGAGATTGGGGTCCCCCATGCCGCCTTCCCTCCCGGTCCATGCAAGACAGGGCTTGTCAATGAACCTCCTTGTCAGATCTGAAACGAGCCCCACTGGGCTCAATGGCACTTACTCCCTCGTAACTGTGTTTAGGATTGCAGCAGAAAGCAAGGATCATTTTCTACCCCCTGCCTACTCCATTTCTGATGATGGTCCTAAAAGGAATAAAATGTTAATACATACTGTTGAAAATACTTGACATTTGCCGATTTACAAGTTTCCTGGTTAATACAGCGAGACCTGTACATCTTCACAAACAGTACAAATCCTTCCAGTGCTCACAAATGATACACGTCAGTTCATATTAGCTGTAAGGTACTCGGAACTGCCATTTAACTTCCTCTCAAATAGATGAAGATATGAAACATCTTACAACCACAACACTGCCATCTTGCAGGTCACCCCGAAACACATCCCATTCCTTTCTTTTAAGGATCAGTCTCAAGGGCTCAACTAAAATTCTGCAGATTTGGCACAATGGCCGTTCAGTGGTCACCCTGCTCAAATACCAAGTCTATACTGAGTGCAAAGTTCGGAATGCTCTACTGGACAGCAATTAAGAATACTGTTGTAAGTCTCTCTGTGCAGCAAGCCCTCAAGACAAAAAGGGGAATGGGAGACGTTTCTAACCCGAGAAAACCATCCTTTGAGAAAGAATCAGAACACGTATTCACGGGCCACTCCCCTTCCCACAAACATAAGTCTCAGAAAGCAATCCTCAGCAGGTCAACTCAGGGGTCCCCTAAGTCCCATTTTATTGAATGGGGCTTACTCCCAGGAACTGCAGCCTTACAGATGCTCCTGATGGGACATCTGGAGCACTGGACTGACCTGAAGCTGCATACAGCCATGGTACAGAACAGTGAAGCAGGAAGAAGGTGCAGGCACCGGCTTGGAGCTCAGCTGGTAAGAGAGCCTTTTGCTCCCCCAACAGCTTCTTATGTAGAGAATCACAGTTAAAAACTAACTCCTTTTACCTGCGTCTTGCCAATGCAGGCATGCAAATTAGCCGGAGTTGCCCTCCCCACCTAGGCTCCACACCAGGTTCAGGATCCTCGTGAGAAGACCACTCATCTCTAGTGAACGTGCGCCCCTCTTATGTGTAAGTCTCTGGCAACTGCGGTTAGTTTTTACAGGGCTCTTTTTGTAGAAAAAGCCCAGCAGGAACTCATTAGCATAATAGGCCACACCCAACAGCAGGAACTCATTAGCATATTGGGCCACACCCCTGACAGCACAGCTCATTGGCATATTAGGCCGCACCCCCATGTTACCAGAAGTGTGGTCATCCAGCCACACCCACTTTTTGCTTCTTATTCAGTTGACCTTGTTTGTTGTCAAAACCCAGGGCCTTTTTTTGGAGCAGGAACTCCTATGCATGTTAGGCCACACAACCCTAATGTAGCCAATCCTAATGCGTTTCTGCTGTTGGGTGTGGCCTATTATGCTAATGAGTTCCTGCTAGGCGTGGCCAACTTGGGAGCCAGCCGGAACTCCGTTCCTGTGCGTTCCTGCCCAAAAATAGCCCTGGTTTTTAAACTGTGATTTTCTGCAAGAGAAGGGAATAATGGAGGAGGGACGAGGCAGACACGCGAGCCCGGAAACGGTATGGCGTTTGTGCACATTGTTCTTAACCATAGTGAAGAGTCTGAATTCAGTCTTGCTAAAGGTCTAAATAAGCTCGAGCCCCTCCTGGAAATTTCTCCACGTGTGCTTCTTCCTGTTGCAAGGGCAGACCTGGATCATAATTCAACCTACGTTTTAAAAGTGCTTTTGACACGATGGCAGCTTGCGGGAGTGACCGGGGGTGGGGGTGGGTCCTCCAGTGTCTCCCAAAGAGCAGTCAATCAAAATATTAGCATTCCTACTGAAAAAAAAATATTGCACTCTCTCATCATTTCTACAAGCAAAACAGAGTCCCACAAAAGTCACTAAAAAGTATGCAAAAGTGTAATAGGGCTGCCATCCCCCCGATGGGGGTGGGGGTGTCCCGCTTTCAGGGGGCCCAATCCGCCACTGGTCAGCTGGCTGGCAGGGGAAGCCCTGCCCCCGAAGAGCCCTGTTGCACCCAACGTACCCAGCACAATGACGTCATCGTGCCGGGCACGTTGCATGGGGGGATGCTCTAGCATTTGGGTAAAAGCTCTATGGTGAACGGTGTTCTCTCTAAGCTGTTAGTGTGAGCTAGCTCTCAATTTTTTAGTCTATGGCTCACACATTTTTGTCTTAGCTCAGGGAGGATGGCTCCAGAGCAAGCTAGTTTATGCAGTAGCCAAATTGCTTGCTCACAGCTTTAATGCCAGTTAGCTCACAAAGTAGAACTTTTGCTCACGAGACTCCACAGCTCAGAGGGAGCATTGATAGTGACCAGTGTTCCCTCTAAGCTGAGTTAATGTGAGCTAGCTCACAGTTTTTTTAGCCTCCGGCTCACACATTTTTGTCCTAGCTCAGGAAGGGATGGCTCCAGAACAAACTAACTTATGCAGGAGCCAAATTGCTCGCTCACAGCTTTAATGCCAGTAGCTCACAAAGTAGAATTTTTGCTCACAAGACTCCACAGCTTAGAGGGAACATTGATAGTGACCATAGAGTTGTTTACCCAAATGCTAGAGCGTCCCATGAATGAAATGACATCTGGGTGATGTCATCACAGCGCGTGCGCCAGAAAACCCCGGGAGCCAGGCTGGAGCCCCTCCGCCAGGACGCAGGAAAGTCCTGGGAACCCTAAACTGTAAAGTGCATTCTTGAATAAAATGTTTTCTTCGACACGGACTTGGGCTGAAGGCTTTGAACCGCTTGCAAGAAAGGGGCCCAAGGACTGCAGCCTTAATTATTCTTCCACATCTTCTAGTAGAGGTCAGGAATTTGACAACCGGAAATATAAAATCAATGAGTACTAATAGCTCTGCTGTTGCGTCACATTCTTGTATACATTAGTTAACCCTCCCATCACCGAAGGGCTAGTTCTCACTGAAGTCCTTGTCGAAAGATCTCACTATTTTAAGTTACTTAGAAATTTAAAAATAAAATAAAATCCAGACTCATAGAAGCCAAGCAGGAAGGGAGGGGAGGGCAGTTTTCTAACTGAAGTGGAACTTAAATTTAAAAGGTCCTCCGGAACTGAAGGGATCAAATCCCTGCCAGGAATTCCATCCTCTGTGGAAAGGGTTTCCTCCGCCTTGCTGGCTTTCCGCATCCAGCGGGTCTTCTCCCGCATCGAACTTCTGCCGCATTTCTTTAAAAAAAAAAAGAAAAAAGGTGAAAGGTTCAAGCATGAGATCGCAAAGCATGCCAAACAACCTGAACGCATTCTGCAAATGAAACCACCAGGAATGGTTGAGTTAAAAGGGAAAGGGGAGATGCATGAGGAATCAAGATCCTATGCAAACCTAGATGGCATCTCTGCATTACTGTATCCTTGTCCTAGCAGTGAGAACCCTCAACGCAATTTCGTAAGCATGTGGCTTGGATTCTGGGTGTGGCCAGGGGCAAGAGGGAGGGAGGGAACTGGGGAATCCAAGCCACAAAGTAAGGCCTATGTACAGGCCAAGAGCTCTTGGTTCTTCACCTGGGGCACTGTGTGTGCCATGCCGGCAGAACCCTCACCAGCTTGAGATGTCCTTGGGATTTACTGCCTGCGTGAAATCTGGACTGGGCCTGTTGGGGTATATCTATTTTGTCAAATGCAGTTATAAGCGTGTGAGAAAAGCGGGATTTACTTATTTTTATTTTACTACTAATAAATATTAGGTGTGGGCTGTGGCTGAGCTTGTACAGCAATCTGTTTCGCGTGCTGAAGGTTCTGGGTTCCACCAGGTCCCAGGATCAATCACCACCATCTCCAGCTGAAAGGCCTCTACCTAATTTATTTATTTATTTATATATTTATTTACCTAAGATGCTGCTGGTCGGAGCAGACCGTACTGACCCAGACAGACCAGTGGTCTAACTCAAGTTAAGACGGTGTCCTGTGTTAATGTCTAGATTGAACAGGAGTCTCTGGGTTGGGTCCAAAGAGCTATACTTCCCTGCTTTCTGCAAATTCCACATCACTCAAAAAGCTCAAGATCCATGGGAACAGCATGGGAAACAGTGTGCATGTGGGAGGGCATAGCATCTTGAGTGGGTAATTCACAGAAATTGTGGAACCCTTCCCCTGTGTGAGTGGATGGCACTTCTACCTGCACAAGGGCACCCCTGAATCCAACCCATTGTCATAATCTTAAATAATTATGACTCGGTTAAGATCTTAAATGAGATTCAGCTGGGACCTATATCAAATTAGTAAAGTGTTTTCCCAAGGCATAAGAAAGGAATGCTCCATGCGGAAAGAAAAGAAGCGCTGCTTTTCATATTTAAACAATTGGGAACCCACAAGGACTTGCGGGAGGCATCTCACTTCCCCCTTTCCTACTATTTCCTCTTCCACTTTCCTAAAAGCCCCCATAAACTCTTCCCTTTCCCTGCTTCCTTCTCTGCTTCTAGGGCTGCCAACTTTCAGATGAGGGTTGGAGATCTCCTGGAATCACTACAAAGATCAGTTCTCCTTAGGGTTGCCAGATCAAGGTTGGCAAATCCCTTGAGATTTGAGGGTGGAGCCTTGAAAGGGCAAGGTTTGGGGAGGGAACCAACCTCAGTAGAGTATAATGCCATGAAGTCCACCCTCCATTTCTGTCATCTGTAGAGCAGTTTTAATTCCAGGGGGTCACCATCCCCTACTTGAAGGTTGGCAACCCTAGTTCCTCTGGAGGAAATGGCTTCTTTGGAGGGTGGCGTCTATGGCATTATAACCCTTCTTCGGTCCCTCACCTCCCCAGGCTTCCCCCCGCAGTTTCTAGGAATTTCCTAACCTCTTTCTCTTCTTTTTGCAATCCCCATAGCCTCTGCCTGCCTCTTTCTCTCCTTCTCAGCCATTCACCAACCTACCTTTTATCTTCCTCCCATCTCCAGCTATATTTATTCTTTATTTACTTCATTTCTACCCCAGCTTCCTCCACAGTGGGGATCAAAATAGCTTACCTTATTCTCTTCTAATCCTTTTTATCCACACAACAACCCTGTAAGGTAGGTTAGGCTGAAAGTATGTGTGGTTCAAAATCACCCAGTCAGCTTCCACAGCAAGATGAGGATTTGAAACTGGATCTCAGACCCTACTCTGAAGCTCTAACCACTACACCACACTGGCTTTCATAGGGTAACTGCTGTGAAACAGCAGCAACATTAGAAGGATCACAGCGTATATACAGATCCCAACAGAATATAACCACTGTAATAAAAAACACTAAATAATAAACATTAATGAAAACCTTTATCTTGCAAAACTTATCCTTATATTGTTGTGAACATACAAAATTTAAGATATTTATGAGCAATTCCAGAACAATATGCCAAAAATACAATGGTGCAAAATTACATCACTACTAGAATGTGTGTAAGACCAATACTGTATATCCAAACTTCATATAGGAAGGAACAGAACAAGGACTCCAGATAGAAGTCTCTCATTTGGGTTATCTTCTTCAGTGAAACCAACTTCTAGATACAAAAATTCTCTTAGTTGTTTATCTTCCAGTAGTTTTATAATTCCCAGTTGGCATTACATCTTAACATACATAAAGAAAAACCTTTCTTTTTTCTTACACTATAATCTCTCAGAGGGGCACCATTCCAAAATTTCAATAAAGAAATTAATCCGAACCTTCTAATGATGGTATAGCCTCCCCCTTTTTTTAAATAACAGTCTGTCTTGGCAACCAGGGATATCCACAACAATGTGCCAGTGCTTTCAAATAATCCTTTTAATTGATCCAGCTAGGGGTGTAAAATCCTATGTGCAAGTAACATTCCTTCTACGAGTAATCTCTCTCTCTCTCTAAATTGATGGAACCAATCCAGGGCAGTATTAATAATTTGCTGAGGATAGAGGTTATACTATCACTAGATTTCCTCAGGATAGAGGCTATACCATCACTGGAAAGTTTGGATTAATTTCTTTATTGAAACTTTGGAATGGTGCCCATCTGAGAGAATATACTGTAAGAAAAAAGAAAAGGTTTTTCAGAAGGTATGTCAGATATAATGCCAACTGGGAATTATAAAACTACTGGAAGATAAACAACTAAGAGAATTTTTGTATCTAGAAGTTGGTTTCACTGAAGAAGATAACTGAAACGAGGGACTTATATTTGGAATCTTCATCTTCTTGATCCTTCCTGTATGAAGTTTGGATATGCAGTATTGGACTTACACACATTCTAGTAGTGATGTTGTAATTGCACCATTTTATTTTTGCATATTATTTTGGAATTGCTCGTATATATCTTAAATTTTGTATGTTCACAACAATATAAGGATAAGTTTTGGGAGATAAAGGTTTTCATTAATGTTTATTCATTATTCAGCCTCTTGTATTACAGTGGTTGTATTCTGTAGTTGATCTGTGAAACAGTAGCAAGCAGCCATGCCTAGTTCAGTCAGGCAAGTTGGGTGGTAGCAAGTCACTCAGAGGTTGCTTCCAGACCTAGGGTTGCCAGCCTTCAAGTGGGACCTGGAAATATCCCAGAATTACAACTGAACTCCAGACAACAGAGATCTGTCCCCCTGGAGAAAAGGACTGCTGTAGAGGGTGGCTTTTATGGCATTATATTCAGCTGAGGCCTGTCTCCTCCCCAAACCCTGCACTCCTCAGACTTCATCACAAACTCTCCAGGAATTTCCCAACCTGGAGCCAGCAACCCTAGCCAGGCCTGGCCCCAATGAGTTCTTCCTCAAAGACCAAAATAGGGCTGGAAATAGGCCTTTTTACGGACAGAAACTGAAGGCTGGAATACTGTGGTTGCCTAGCAACAGCCACTAAGGGAATCTGTTGCTTAAAGATATACACACTCCTTTTATCATTTTTGGAATTTTTAAGCTGCCGAATGTACTTTTTTTTAAATTATTCCACATTTTTCTGCAAACCTAGGGCCCTTTTGAGTTTTGTAGAAACATTTGTCTTGCCTGCTCACAGCTCCAGTCACCAGATTTAAGTATCCAAAGATACTTTGACCTTGCGATTAAGGAACAAACTTGTTTGCTGCTGGGTTGTTCATTATGAAACCACAAACGGAGCTATCAGGTAACAGACCTGGATCAGTGAGGACTTCTTTGGCAGCTGCTATGTCAATGAACTTTTTCTCCGCTTTCTTCTTCTCTTCTTCATCCTGGAAGTTATCCGGGTGCCACTGCATTGCTAGCTTTCTATAGGCTTTTACAATTTCTTGTTTTTTGGCATTCC